CCTATTTGAGCAAGAAAAGTAGATTGGATGCCGAGTGCTCTAAGCTCTGTACTGTCACATCAGAGCTGCCTGGCTTATGAAGAAGAGGGAAGACGCTCGAGAAATACAAAAGCTGGGAAGAAAGCTGAAGGGAAAAGCACCGAAAAAAAGGGGACGCGCGCTGAGAGCACGGCGCCAGAGTGCTAATGTTGAGGACGTCGAGGGCGGCATGACCGGTGTCGGAACTGTTTCTGAGCAGGGGAACATATCCGAGCTCGGCAAGTGTTGTGCTATTCTCACAAATTGTGCGGACAAACAAAGCGTGAGAACTTTTCAAGTCAAGGATGCAGCTCCTCGCTTCAGTTCCGCTTTTCCCAAGAAGAAGCGTTTGAAAGGTTGAAAGCATGTCAACGGTCCAAAGTGACGACCCTCCAAGGTTGAAGAGGTATAAGCTCGGCCTTTGTTGAGTAACCAGACGCTAAGCTTTTGAAGCGGACACATCAGGATTTCCAAATCGAACGTCGTGAACAGAATCTGCGGAATTCCTGGCTTTCTCCGACCGAGCGTCCAACTATGCGAGATCCTCGAACCCTCAGCATGCTGATAAAACCGGAAGTGGATCAATTTTCACAGTAAACCTTTTCACATCTCACCATCTTAAGGCTCTCAATGCCCGTGTACAAGTACGAGTGCCAGTGCCTCATCAACAAATGGCGACATGCATCTGTCGCATTCCCTTTGCCAGCCGCATTCCGAGAAGGAACCCTCAGGACGCCCTCATATTCTGCAAATCATGATAATGCAGCCCGCTCAACAACTCATACTCAGAACCTAAGCGGCACAACCACAGAATTAGCCACTCACCTCTCCGCGCTTTGGATCTGCGGTCGTGGCTTGGCCAGTTCCAGCATCACCCCCGGACCCCCCAGGTCCAGAAACGCCTCTAGAGCCGGCCACCGCGCCTTCACAAAAACCGGCCCAAGTCTCCGGTCCCTGTGAACCATGATTGCCACGGACTCATACGCCGCATCGCTGACGTCGATTGGCCGGGACCCCCTCTTTCCCCCCCCTTCTTTCCCCGCCGTTTGAGCCCCCCCCTTGAGGGACTGCTTTAGAGACTCAACCAAGAGCACCAGGTGACTGCGGAGGTACTGCCGGATCGCGAGGACGGTGTGAAACGCGATCTGACGCCCGGATGACGTCATCTCGGCGCGCAGCGCCATCGCGGCTCGCAGGAGGCTGAGCAGGCGCTTAAGCCCCCCCTGCGCGTCGAACGCATCGATGACGGCTTTGAAGACGAGCGCGGAGCCGAAGAACAGCGCGGCGTTCTTCCGCGCGGGGTCGTGCGTGCACGAAATTAGGGTTAGCGCTAACTCGACGCACCCGCTGACCTCATCCCCCAGGAGCGAGCACACCCGCTCCATCACCGCCTGGATTGACGCGAGTGCGAATAGGCACAGAGAGAGGCCCGTGTACGTGTGTGGCGTTCGCACCACTTGCAGGAACGCATTCACACCCCCCCGGTCGACGAACAGCAGAGCGAACCGCCGGTGCGCAAGCAGACTGCACACGAGCTTCAGACTGTCCGCGACTTCGGACGCAGCTTCCGCGGTCACCGGACCGTCCGGCTGCCGGCGAAGCAGGGCGAGGCATATGTCGATCCCCCGTTCTCGGAGCACCGGCCCAAGCGCCTCGAGATACTCCCCCAGAGATGCGAGACACTGGATAGAGTACCGCTCTCTCAGCTTTCGTATTCTGCTCCCATCAACCCCTTGCGGAAGGGTTGCGTCACCTTCTGTTTGAGACTTTGCGTTCTCCGGCTCGGGGTCTTTGCGCTTTGCTTTCTTCGCTTCCTCCTGCTGCGCTTTGGCGGAAGCCGCCTGCTTCGCTGCGTCCTCGACTGCGTCCGCGGCGCCGATTGCGGAAGTAACTGCCTCTTCTTGCGTTTTGCCGGCGGCCAGAGCGTCGGCGTGGGCGGACTTCACCTGAAGCAGAAGAAAGGTGGGTCGGAGCATTTAGCACAGGCTTAGCTAGGCTATGACCTGACTGGCAAAAACAGGAAATTCTGCCTGCGTTTTGCCGGCAGACAGAACGGTTAGCACAGGGTTGGCTTAAGCACGACCTGCATAACGCGTGGTTAAAGAAGAGCGTCGCAGGAGGAATTGGAGGACGCAGAGGACGAATGGAGAAGATAGAGCCAAGGCCTGCGTTGTTGAAGAATCACTGAGGGGCCTCAATCCAGAATCCGTAGCTACTTGCTTTGTCTAGACGCAGTTGCGATAGGCCTCCGTCAAAAGATGCAGAAACCTGTACCTGACTAATTTCAAAGCGAAAAGTGGTGAAGAAACCTGGGTTTTGAGAGCTCGTGTCAGCATCTACCAAAAAACAACTGGAGGACTGCCAACTGTACATACACACAACGGCCTTCCTTGCACACGAAGAGTCTCCCCCTCATCGAAAAGCACAGAGAAAGGAAGCAAGGGGGGACAATAAGAGGACGCCTCTGCGGGACTCAAATCCGGCTTTGTAAACGCGACAAATCCTTCGACTTACCGACTCATAAGCCGCATCTCCTGCTGCAACCACTGCCTCCTGCGGTGCCCCGGCATCCCTAGCCTCGCTCTCCGCTGCCTCCCTCGCTCGTGCCAGCACAAACCGAAGATCTTTCTCTTTCCTCTTTGCCTTCCCACCCTCACCCTCGCTAGCTCTCCGTCCTTCAGATAACTTGCTTTCTGTCCCCTCTTGCGCATCCTTACTACACCCAGGCCGTTCGTTTCCTCCCCCTGTTTCCCCCTCAATATCACTCGCTTTCGCTCTCCTCTGGTCAGTTTTCCGTGAGCTTTCCCCAGCGTTCTGAATCGTCTCCCCTCCAAACCCCTCCTTTCGGGCGTCCGCGCCATTCCCCTCCGTCCGCACCTCCTGCGCCAGCTCAGCCGCCGCCGCCGTGCCGCCACCTGTCTCCTCCTCATTGGCCCGTGTCAGTGCTGCCGCCCCTGCCCTATCCAACTCGACATCACGTGCCGTTTCTCCCACTAACTTGCCAGGCCCAATTTGGGCCAAACCCTCAGACACCGAAGCCCCCCCAGGGATTTCACTTCCTTGCTCTCCCCCTTTTCGCGACTTCCGCCGTTTCCGCTCCGGGCCCCCCAGCTCCTCGCCAGCTGTTCCCTCCCCGCTAGCCCCATTGCCCCCTTCCTCAACGGTTGCTCGCTTCTTACCCACCCCCCTTGCCGTCTTACTTTTCCTTCGCTCGCTCTTGCTGGTCTTCTGCCCCACTCTTCCAATCTCTGGCCCCCCTTCTTCGTCAAGATCCTCTCCATCCCCCTCAATCCCCTGCCGGTGGTAAAACTCGTCCAAAGCTTCATCGGACTCCCCCTCAAACCCCTCATCATTCTCGGCATTCGCCTCGTCTATTTTCCCCTTCCCTTTCCCTTCCACTCTTGCCTCCACCCCCCCCTCGGGCACGTTCTCACCTGCCATGCGGTTTTCATCTTTCCAGGGGGTGTCCAATGACACTTTCGTCCTCTTCCTTGCCGCCCCCCCAGGGCTGAACAAACCTGGCTGCGCTCCAACTTTGGGGCCCTGTTTCGCCCCCACCTTTCCATCGTTCCTAAGCACAGACCTCCTCAGAAACTTTACCAACGGCTCCACAAGGCCCTGCCGAACGACGTCGTCCACAATCTCCTCGTTCTGCAGCGCAACGGCGAGCAAACCTGTCGCATATGTTCTTAACAACTCCTTGTCCCGTTTCTCCGCATCCCTCCCCCATTTGGCCCCGGGTCTAGTTAGGAACCGCTCCTCGTCTTCCGGCGACTCTTCTTTGGTCCACTCGATCAGCTTCTCCAAGACACTATCGTCCAGGATGAAGGGGAAGAGCCAGACTGAGGAGCACGCTAGTGTCAAGCGCGCCGCGGCAGCCCTGAGGCTCGTAGGATGGTTTGGTTCAACCAAGAGTCGGATGCTGACTAACTCGAAAAAATCATCATCGTCTCGGGCGAGATTGATCAGGCGGCCAATGGTGTAGGAAGAGCGCGTGTTGGTGAATGGGTGGCCCATATGCTCCTGGTACCTGTGATGTAACAGACATCCAATCAGGGTTTAGGTTCATAGGGTTAGGTGTTATGGTTTAGGTTTTCGGTTTCATCATAGTTCAGATATCAGGGTCGACTTCTTTCAGGGTTTCCATACATGCAAACTGCCACCAGCAAATTCCACTGGATAATTCATCCTTTGCTAACATTAAACCGAACAAGGAACGGTCCTTTGCTTTTTCTTGATTGGTGGTCAAACGAACTCATGTCAGGAAACATGCAAAGGGGGATTTTCCTCGTCTGCTTGCGAACTGCAAGACCACCCCATGGCGTCTCCCTACAAAGTCATGCAGCCACACCACCAGTTCCTGCAGCATTTTCCAGCTTTCTATTTTGTTGAACAAGTACCACCACCACTTCTAAAATACTGCCTTTCTCACACCTCTCTCTAACCCTTTCTTGAACCGTCATGTGTTGCTGACGCTGGCAGCCTCTCAAAAGAGGAAGTTTTTTCCAAGACGGGTAATGAAATCTAGACAAGCACCGCATATTCTCTCCTGCCTCTCAGAAAAGATACCAAAGAGAAACATAACTTCCAAACCCTAAAAAAATGATCTCAAAAGGAATCCATAAAACGTGCTTCTTACCGTCTCTCCTCCTCTTCCAACAACCCCGCCAGCTCATGCAGCCACTGAGGATCAGGCCCTCTCTGCGCGGCATTGATCTGTCTGATGAGATCCCTCGCACGAGGAACCACGTTGTCAGCATTGCGATTAGGGGACGCCGGTGCAGCGATCGGCGGAAGGGTGGGCATCCGGTCGTCAGCCGGCATGGCGCCAGCAGCACCAATGCCTGAGGGCCCCGCCATACCGGACACCTCTGCAAATGAAGCCGAGCTGTGGAAAAGTGCGCGGTTTCAAGTTTTTGAGCCGCATGCGGCTTGCAAGGCGTGCTGTGCTGCTGGCGCAGTCATGCAGCCTGTCAGAGCAGTGCAGTCACCGCGGAAGCACGATAAAACACCGTTACCGCCCAGTTGGCGGGGCATCGGACTCCGATCGAGTCCGAGTCCGTGCCAGGCCAGGTTACCTGGTACCGTATCCTACGTTCCGAGGCTGCGGCTACCGAATCTGATGGTATCATTTACAATCCGACCGTTTTACCGGTACGGAGATGGGATGTGTCAATGGTTCTCATTCTATGCTCCTACAGATCCCAAAAAGAGCATAGAACTACCACAAGCAACTCGATGCGTATACGCCGAGTTCTATTTCTAGAGGCAACTTATCTTATATTCTTATAGGTTCGAGCTCGTTATAGGCAACGCTTATGAGTGTTTTCGATCGACTTGCATGCAAGCCTCACTCAAATGGGAGCTTCTAACACTATTCTACATCGAAATCTGTCTAAATTAGACTACGCTGGAGCCGTTAAAAACCCCCCCAGGGTCCATTGGCTTCTTTCTTGGACCCGCCTTTTTGTGGGTGGGGAAAAGGTACTCCAGAGCGCTTCGATGTAGAATCGCGAAGAAGACCATGCGCGCCTCCGATCTGCGAATGGAATCGACCATTGCAGGATCTGATGGCTGTTTAAAGTTACCATTGCCGGACCCCCCCGGCCCCTTGCGGGCACCGGCAAAACCAAACTCAGTGCCCGGCACAACCACCCGCGCGCCCGGCCGGGGCCCCGCGCGCCGGGGGCCCGGTTTCATATACCTTTAGTATGCAGATTTTTATACATGCTAGTTTGAAGCATACTATGCCCGGCCGCGGGGCTGCCGCGGCGGCCGCTGGCAGGCCCCGGCCCGGGCCGTCACTGCCGCAAAACGGGCAAAGAAGACAGTTGTAAAAGTGTTCACAGGCACTTTCCACAAGGGGCTTGCATCATCAGGGTATAAGCGCACACGATCGCTGGACTATGAATAGCCCGGTACATCTTCAAAATAGCCTCCCGGTGAAATCCTCACCGAGATGGTTTCAACAGGACAATCCAGGGTTTAGCAGGGTCCCGCTGTCAAACCAGTGAGGTTTATGGAAGCCTTTCACCCTAAGACTCAAGGGCTTGTTGAACACGGTTAAAGGTACCGGGACCACGATTTGAGGGTACGTTTCTTTGCCGGTTGGATTACCCGGGGCACTTTGTCGCACCCGGTCGATTGAGCTGTGCGATGGTATGAGATAAGGCCGCAAGTCAGGGGTCGATCCTGAATGGTCCTGGTAGTGAATTCCGGATTTAACAGATTCTACGCGCATCTGAGTATCGTACGGTTTACGATGCCGGCCTCGGTAACACTTCTGCGTTCACACTTTTACAACTTTCTACTATGTAGTATGTACTACTCGCCTGCCTGCCGAGTCCCGCGCGATCGACCGTAGGATCCTATTTGCGAGCCGCGGTTTATAGACTCAGTCGGGACTCGGATCGACATATGCATGCGGTCCGCACCGTCCGCTCAGGCAGTGTCGACATGATCCGCATTTCAGGCCATGCACGTGGTGTGGCATAAATACTCCCGTGGCTGCCTCCACACTGGGGGATACTTGGGGATACTGGAGTACCCGGCTACTTCTCAAGTTTCTCCAAGGAACCGGGAGCTTCTCCGCAAAATGCGGGAGCCGAAGTAGCCGCTTCCACACTGGGGGCTACTTTGGACACCGGCTACTTCCGCCGGTCACTCTCAGCGTGCCACGTTGACTCAAAGATTTGAGCAATCATTCAAGAAAGCAGACTGTCGATGTTCGCACGCGTCCGGTTCAACAACTGGACCGTTATGCTGAAATCTGATTGGCCAACCGCCGAGTAGCCGGCCAAGTAGCCTACTTTTTGAAGGATACTTGCCGGGCTACTCGTTCACACGTGATAAGGCAAAGTAGCTCCCGATCATCGCGGAACGCAAAGTAGCCGGGTGGAGTATCCCGCAGTCTGGACGGGCTACTTGCCCGGGATACTCCAGAGGGGGGTACTCGGAGTAGCCGACGACCCAAGTATCCGGCAGTGTGGAGGCAGCCCGTAATACGTTTACTAGTAGGTCCACTGAGGTCAACTGGAATCCGGGGATCCCTCAATACGGTACAACCCTCAGTCGCAGTCAGTACAGTAGGTCTGGGGATCCCTCATTGCAATCTCACTCGGCAGTGGGCACTGGGGATCCCGCTTTTGCAGCTTTTTGCTGCTCTCAGAGCAGCTCTGGTTGAGACGCGGCGTACTACTACTTGATACATGTGGTACGGTACGTACCTAGACTAAGACTAAGACTACCTACATTATCATCATCCGTTATTGGTACCTACGTTACCTATTGTACGAGGGGGAGCCTGGGAGGAATTTTCCGAGGGGATATATGGAGATTCTCGAGAACCTGTATTCGGAGTCTCCACCCCGCGAGGAGCTAGTTACACGTCCATGCAAACGGCCGGGCAATACCTACGAGAATACTGCCCTGGCCCCTGGCCATCTCCAACCGGGGGGCAAATACGAGATATACGGTATGTACCCCGGCCCAACTTGAAAGGCCGAGCGCAAAATCCGGACGGGCGATAACGACTAAGGTTGAATCGTTACATGTCAGAGCATCCAGGGCTGCCTCCACACTGGGGGATACTTGGGGATACTGGAGTACCCGGCTACTTCTCAAGTTTCTCCGAGGAACCGGGAGCTCTTCCGCAGAATGCGGGAGCTGAAGTAGCCGCTTCCACACCGGGGGCTACTTCGGACATCGGCTACTTCCGCCGGTCGCTGTCAGCGTGCCACGTTGACACAAAGATTCGCGCAATCATTCAAGAAAGCAGACTGTCGGTGTTCGCACGCGTCCGGTTCAACAACTGGACCGTTATGCTGAAATCTGATTGGCCAACCGCCGAGTAGCCGGCCGAGTAGCCTACTTTTTGAAGGATACTTGCCGGGCTACTCGTTTACACGTGAGAAGGCGAAGTAGCTTCCGATCATCGCGGAACACAAAGTAGCCGGGCTGAGTATCCCGCAGTCTGGACGGGCTACTTGCCCGGGATACTCCAGAGGGGGGTACTCGGAGTAGCCGACGACCCAAGTATCCGGCAGTGTGGAGGCAGCCCAGTGTTGCCAGTTGGCACTTCCTCACAGCTGCCAGCATTCAATGGCATAATATAGCTAGGTGATGAAGGTGATCCAAAGGCAATTAAAGATACGGTCCGGGTAGGCGTTTGCACGCTTTGGAGTATCCACTGGCACTGCTGTTGGATCGTTCACTGGTTCATGTCAGGTGCGTATATATTTCTGGTCATTTTCCTACTCTTCCATTCATCTCCTTCTCAAACCCAAAACTTGTCTCCCTTTCCTTACGCACGTTTACGCCTCAAGAAGCCACGATGAAGAGGATCTCCCTCACACCAACGATCCTCTGTGCCGCACTCTTCCTGAGCCTGTCGGTCAACCAGGCCCTAGCGGCCTGCTCCGGAACCTGCATTGACACTACACAGTGCGCCAACAAGGGTGGAACCAGCACCGCTGGTGAGTGGTGTCAAGGTGGAAGCTCAGTGCTTCAAGCAATGGAGCTGGCTGGTTGGATTGGTATTAGGTGTACTTGAGCTGCCCTAGAAGTAGTGCGCTTAAGAGGCATGGGGTAGTATGCGAGGACACTGATAACCAGCGAAATCCTCTAAGACCAACTTCTCGTGTAGTGCTTTCCAGTAGGTCTATGTTTTTAAAAATCCAGAAAGGGGTTAGGCTCTTCTAGATACACTTGAGCCTCCAACAGAGAAAGGCTCCGCACGCAGTTGAATCGTCCATGATGATGTCTCACAGATGAAGTCTTTCAATCAGCACATTGAATCCAGATGGATCTTTTCATGCTGAATGCATTCATATTGAAGCTGAAAGCCTCAACCGGGCCAACACAAAGTTCCTTCTGTCCATTTCAGGCCTGTGCCCCGGCGCTGCCAACATCCAGTGCTGCACGCCCAAATCCTGCACCGCCAATGGACAGACCGGGACCTGCAAGGACATCTCCACATGCTCTGGAACCAAGACTGCAGGTAGGCACTTTCAAGAGCACCGTTGTTGCTAGTGATACTTGAAATTCTTTTGTTTATTCTTTTAAGAAAAGAAGTTGGACCATGCTCTCCTTACTTTTCTTGGTCTGGTCATTCCCAGGAAAGTCCATCTTTGCTCGAGCATGGCTTGTCATCTCACTATTGGGCTTTCTTTGGGGAAGAGGACTTGATGTCACGCTCCCGTGAAGCTTCGTTGAGCTGACAGTCATTTTGCAACTATCATAAGCGGTCTTCAAATACAATAGTAGAAGCTCAAAGGCTGGACGAGAGTCTACAACGTCCATTCTCAGGTTTCCAGATCAGTTTGACAATGTCGACCTTTCCAGTTCGTGATGCCACGTTGATCTGAGTTCGGTATCTTCAAATGTCTGTGGACTCTCATTTGAGCTCTCTCTCTTTCCGGTTGTTTCTGGTTTCTGACGGACTTTACAAAGATCTTATTGGTTCAACCAATTGAAAGATTGTTATATTAGCTTACTACCCCACCACAATTGCCTGTTGCTTTCTCATCTTCTTTATTTCATATCGAAACGAGCTTGCCCCTGTGCAAGGAACCTCAGCTATGCTCCCTGAAGCTTACCCACTTTTTCGCCGTTTTGCTACAAATAGATGCTGACTCTTCCCTTCATTTGCACCCCCCCTAATTCATGCCAGCATTACACTGCACGAAAGGTGGCAGCACCTGATTGCTGAACTCATTCTGGTTTGCCCTCCTCGTTCACAAACGTGACTTTCTGTGATCCTACTGAAGTCATCAAAATAGATGAGTATTTTCAACGGTAGAATAGTGGTCTCCAAAACCAAAGGTTAAGGGTTCGAGTCCCTTCTTCCCTGTAATGATTCAGTATTGATCAAAAGTACGCAGTCAATTGCTCTTGAGATAAAAAAGAGAACGCAACGGTCTTGCAAACACCATGCATGCGCAAATCCCAACCCCAGCCCATGCCCATTGCAGGTCTTGGCCCCTGACCCTCCAATCCCCAGTCTGCACCACGGCTGTGTCACCTGTTCAAAAACTAGCCACCTAAAGGTCAAGCTGACATCCCAACTCCCGCCTCTCGAATAGTTTTAGCCCCGTTCTTTCCTGTCTCCAGGTCTCTGCCCCGTTTCCTCCAACATCCAGTGCTGCACGGCCGCTACTCTCTCCTGTACCTCAATGGCCATCTCGTACCACAAACTTGAGTTCCCAAACCCCAACAGCTTTCCACCCTTGAGATTACTAACCGTTTACGTAACCCTCATCCTTCCCCCCCAGGTCTTTGCCCCGGTCCTTACAACATCCAGTGCTGCACCTCTGGCTATGGCACCTGTTCCGTGAACGGCCAGGCCGGAACCTGCAAGGACACCGCCCAGTGCACCGGAACCCACACCCCGGGATATTGCCCCGGGCCCTCAAACATCCAGTGCTGCACTGCGAGCACGCCTTCTTCCGGGGGGGGCAGCTCGATTGTCACCTGGGGCAGGACTCAGGTCGGGAAGGTTCCTTACTCCTGGGGGGGAGGTAAGACGTTGATTTCGACTCGTAGAGGAAGTGGGATTCAGCGCTATTTCGACGTGTTTCCTGCAGGCAAAGGGTGGCTTGGATCGTGAGATACAGGAAAGAAGAGGCGCATGTAAACGAGGCTTGCTTCCCTACGCTGCGAACGAGGGAGGGTTTTATAAGAAAGAGAGGAAACGAGGACTAAGCATACTTGCCGCTTTGCTTGCTGCCGTCCTTTCTCGTCAATCCATCCAGTCGCTAACCGATTCGTTATTGCCGTCCTTGTCTAGGCCACGGTGGATCGCCTGGTCCTACTCACGGTAAGGAGTCCGTCTAAACTCCCACAAATCTACTCCCGAAGATTGCTGTGAGCCGCAAGCCTTTTCGTCATCTCCTCCTCGTCTTGGCCTTTTCCACGTGTCCAAACCAGTCTCTCACAGTCCTTTGAGTCTCGCAACTCAGGTCGTGTCTCCTTTTCCTGCGCGCCTCCTTGTTTGCCACGCTGGCAATTGTCCTCAACGGACAATTGTCCCCAGGTCTTGTTGTTCCGGGTGCCGCTACTCTGGCCCCCTGCGCCCTCTTAAAATCCGGTGTTACTCATCATGAAAATGGAGGGAGGCTTTCGATCGCCCCAGACCTCCCGCCCTGACCTCTCAAACCCTCATATCATAATCCTTCATGAGCTGATTTCCAAACTCCGAATTCTCAAACCCTGAATCCTCGAATCTGAATCGAGTCAAATCGATTCTCCAGGTTGTTGTTCCACCGGCCCCACGTGCGGCTACCATGGCCCCCAGCCCTGCCCCGCCAGCTCTACCACCGGCTTCGACTGCTCGGGCTTCACCCGCTGGGCCGTCTGGAAGGCACGTGGCTCCGACGTGCTCGGGTCCGGGGGCACCAGCGGCCAGGAGGCGCGCCTTGGCGGGAAACAGGTCACGCGCGCGCAGCTCCAACCGGGCGACCTCATCTTCTACGGACGTGAGTTGTGTGTGCTCTCTTGCTTCAGTTGCCGAGTGTGAACTGAAGATGGGCTTACCCCCCGACCTCAGCTGCTCTCTGGCTTCACAAGACGTGGGCCTCCAAGGAATCCTCGACTGATTTGGTAGGACCGTCGAGGCAATAAGCCTGGCTTGAGACGACGTATTGTCTCCATAAGAACAGTGTGTGCTCGACTGGGCGATACCACTTTCCTTACCGAAATCAGTTTCCCGTCTCGTGTGATTCATACAGACAGTTGCAAGCTCAACGCGGCAGGGCATGTTTGCGAGCTGTACCCGAGTGAGCAGAAACTTCACGAGGCCAGATTCTGCCTCGTTTGTACTAGCTTCTGATCTTTGAACGGACAGAGAAGGTTTGATGATGGTCAGGAGACCAGAAAGCAGCTCACTGTTGGTGCTTTTAATTTCGAGTCAACCGGATGATGTACTAGTGCAAGAAAGTGGGCGAGTGAGTGTGGTGTGTTTATCGTCAGTTCACATCAACCGAGCAATTGAAAATGCAGCGTGCGAGGCATTCTGGCCGCCTTATTAGCGGTATTCTTCTCTTTCTTACCTTACTTCAGAGGCGTTTGACTGTCTACCCTTAAATCGTCTATAGGCGAGGCAGCGACTTAAAATGACTATGCCATGGTTGGAGATGGTGGACTTGCGTCCTTGTCTAAGAGGAAAAGGCCGCTCCTCCTCTAGTTGCATCATGTCATTGACCTGCTGGTGTTGTTCGCCGTTCCAGCGTAAAAAACCTTCTTCTGACCTCGAGCGCCATCTACTTCATGCTGATTTCACGCGTGACGCTTTCGCAGCCGTCGGATCTACTTACCACACCGCCATCTATGTGGGCAGCACCCAGCTCGAGGCGCCCGAGACCGGGCAGATGGTCTCCGAAAAGGCCTTCCGGGCCGGTGACCGTTACTACCGGGTGTAATCTCAGCGGTGTGAGGCAGGCGCACAGTGCCCGGTACGTACCAGCGTTCGGCCGGGGGGTTTTAACGCGCTGTTTGGAAATGTTTAGCTCCTAGCGATTGTCATGAGCGTCAGTGGTTTGAGAGGGTGGATGTATGGCAGACTCGATTGAGCGCAGATCAGCTAATTTCACAAAGAAGTGAAATCGAATAAGCGGCGCAGCAAGGCGCAAAAATCATATATTGCCATCGGTCCTGTCTTTAATAACTTTGCTTAAATTTTGACCAAATCATCATTGATCATCTAAAGGACCAAACTTGATTTTGTCATCGTATATACATGCCAAGTCGGAGGCCGGAGCCTAGCTTTTTATCAAGCCCCTCTTCAGAGTAAGACACGGCGGTCGGGGCTAGTAGCTCTTGATTATACGCACTCATGGATTGTCCATGATGAAAGTCCGCGGCGCAAACGTGGGTGCTAAATCGTGACATAAGCTGCATGAGGCATGGCCCGCAACCATGTATTTTTGTATACCCATGGCCCGTACCGCGTTCGTACGTGATCGTTCGAGGCGCAACTTTGACGAAATTCGACGCGAGCAAGCTATAACGCAGGCTGAGCATATGTAGCAGCAGATGTTAGTATACCGTCGTTGCATTTCAGGCCGCAATGATCTGATCTTCCAATTGTCGCGACCATTATAATCACATGCATCTCTCTCAAATCTGCAAATAAACTTTCCATGCCGCCAGTGTGCGGACTCCGCTCACCTCTGACTATAGGGAAGCATGATTACATGAGCGGTGGGTTTCGGCTTGCCGGATGTATTGGCTCGCAATTCTGGCGGTTGAGATCGTGCCGCCATCTCTCATGTTGCGGATCTGGTTGCGGCAGCAGTTGACAAGCAGCGTTGTCACTAGACGCCCAACTTAGGTGCATATGTGAAACTCATGCGCATACATGCGCGATGATTATCGACCCACACAACTCTCGTCGCGGTATAGGTACACATGCAACAATCAACGTACGGACCTGTACTTCGAAAGGAATCATGATAGAGGCTCGAGAGTAGAAGAGCTTTGCCGCTGCATCCCTGCCTCAAGGACTCGAATCACTACCGTCAGACTACGCGCATTTTCTTCTGAGAGCGCAGCGACATCGGCCGGTTTTTCAACGGCGCCAACGAGCACAAACGTCACACGAACGGACCACTCATCGCACCTGCCCCATCAAAAATATACAGGGGGCTACCCTTTGGCTCCGGGTCGGAGCCCAGCGTCTGAATTCTGTACATACGCCACACGCAAGCGAGCAACAGTTTCTGTTCAAATCATCTCGAATTTGAAGCGTTACAGTGCCACGTCGAGAAGTCCCCGCCTCTGTAGCGCTCGGCACGCGGGGCAGTACCACTTGTTCCGGGGGGCCTGGTTCAGGCCCACGCACGAGTAGTGGAACCACACCCCCCCTTTGCAGTCCTCGTTGTCGCACTGCACCATGTCGCCATACGATTGCTGCACGGACGTCCAAAATGGGGAATTGTTAGGTATGTCCGGATTGGTTCACTGCGTATGTCCGTGAAGAAGGCACCGAAAAGTGTACCGAGCTCCTCTCAACCCAAGCACATTTGAAATCTGTGACAATAGCTGGCCCGGGACGTCATTGGTGCCGCCTCTATCTATGTTGAGAAAATGGAGATTAACGGGCGGATAAGCTGTCGAAGAACGCCTCTCGAATACTCGCGGTCCAGACTTCTGTCAATCGCGGTCTTGGCTCAAGGCTCCGTTAGGCACAGCTTTTGACCCACAAAGACAATTCAACATCTTTCGATCCGGCTTTGTTGGGTCAATCTTGAGTGGCACTTCGTTCGCCCAGCGTCAAGACTCTCATGTCTTCACGCAACGTCGCCAGCACTACGGTTCCCAAAGACACTGCAAACGTCTCCGTAAGCACAGAGAGGCAGCTCTGACGTTTTAACAGCTGGATCCATCCAGAGCATCGCCTAGACATAGCTTTCCTCCACCAGACACCCGCTCGCGTCCGACAAGACTCCTTCGCCATCAACTCAAGGAGCGGACGTGACCGTCGTTTCTAAGGTCTTCTTAGACGGCCCAGGCCTGCGTCGGTTTCGAGGCAGGCTTGAGAATAGATTCGACTTACTCTCATGATGCAAACGCAGAGAAGGAAGAAGTAGAGCAGAAAGGGAAGAGGACGGAGTCTGAGCTTTTGGCTGACTCACACCCCCGCATATACAAAAGCTGTCCTGAGGGTCCCCTCCCCCCGGATTCGCTGCGTTTACCACCCCCGGAGATGGTTGCGACGGCTGACTTTTCCGTCGGACCGTGATGGCTGGGGCACGTGGCCGTTCCGGTTCCCGATCGTCATATTCCGGGGCGGGGTCCTGCTTACGGGCGGAAGTGGGCTGCGGAGGGGGGGCAGGCGGACGCTTCTTCTCGAACGAGACCGGGGTGAATGCGAAGTCGGACAGCTTGCCCTCTGCAAAGAAAAAGAACATGGGCTATCTGCCTTCGTTGCGACTCTGTCGATGCTCTGACAAGTCAAATCTGTCTGCCCGGGGGAGAATGAGCTATGCAGGCAGTGAGTGCGAAGCTGTGTATAGAGACAACCTTGAGATACCCGAGAAAGCTGTGTACGCTGACCCATCATGAAAACCGATGCGATTCGCGCATCCACTGCTCTGTCCATCTCACTACGAGTTGAGGTTTTGTCTTAGCCTGCAGAACGCACGCAACGCCCCACTCTGAGTGGAACCAGAAAGGAGACAACATTTTCAGGGGACTCGAAGAAGTGGCCTAAGGAGCCGGACTGTGCCGCTTCCCGACAAATGGTTTGAGCCCGTCCGACTGGCCGATCATTCGGAGCATCCGGAAAGCGTCCGCAGCATCCGCAATGTCTAAGGCGCTCAACGAGTAGTTGCCAGAACGGGCTGATTAATAACATGGCAAAACCCCCTCAAGTTAGCAACGTCCGCAGGCTTCAGGAAGAAACATCAGAAGCCCTCTTTGAAGCTGCGACCCGGACTTGATGCCGTTTAACCTTCTCCAACCTTGTCTTGAAAGAGCGTACATTTTACCCCAAGAGGCCCTCAATTGGATAGGTCAACGTCGAGGGGAACGGGCGTTCGGCTTTCCTCACCTACTTTCAGGTCCTCTTCGAAGCTGCCCAGGTCTTCGTCTAGCCGAGCAATTTGGCTCGTGATCTGCAGAAAGGAACGAAAACGGACGATGAGGCGAGTGTCCGTTGCGAATAGGCTTATGTTTCAGAGTTGTGCTTTCTTCCTTCCTTCTGTTTTTTTTGTTTCTCTTTCTGTTTGGCCGCAACCGCTCCGGCTTGCTTCTGGTGTCAGACGGCCATTGAAGATTCTGTATGCATGGTTCCAGACGTATGCGACAGCGACCGTTTCTTCCACACCTGCTGCGTCCAAGTGGGACGTAAACATGGCGTCACGCCGTCCAAGCGGGACAGAAAAGATGACGTCACGCACGGAAACCGGTCCCAGAATGCACGCGGAACGTGCATGTATTTGCTTGCCTTCACCCCATTTGTGCCACGTAAGACTTTTTGCAAAATCGATCCTTGGCCAATCTCGGCTTCCGTCAAATGGGATGCACCAAAGTCCGCACACCGTTGCTGATACGACAGCCTCAGATCAAAAGGGAATAGAAAAGTTGATTAGTCTTACGAGCCCATCGGCTTGCAGCGCCACAAGGACTCCTCCTTCATAAGAGAAAACGGCGCCGGATTGGCCCCTTGTTTTTCCAATTTGTAGAGAAGCTCAATTCTGACGACCTCAGCAGATTCAAACGGTAAACGCTAAGCTCAGTACCCATCTATCCCCAAAACCCGCAAGCTGATAGACTATGGTTTTACCCACTCCGTAGCCTGCTACGCAAAAGGGACTTCTCAATGGCCAGCCCCGAGCAGTGCTTCTGCTCCGATTGCGAGTCACCGCATCCTGTCTTTGGTTTCTCTCAGGCCCGTTCAACCCTCGTTTATCAGAAAGGAAGGTTCTTACCAGCTCGGTAGCCTGTTGCGCAAGAATGACCTTCTCGGTGGTAAGCCCCAGGCAATGCTCCTGCTCTGCCTTCCGTCCGCGCCACATCGTCCCTTCCTTTGTCTTTTACGAAAGCCCTTTTTCCTTCCATTTCGACGACCTTAGGGAATGTGAGATTCAAAGCTCCGCAACTTACATCCTCACCGAGTGGTAAAGTATAGAGCCTCGGGATTGAGTCCTTACCAGCTCCGTAGCTTGCTGCGCAAGAAGGACCTTCTCGGTGGCGAGCCCGAGGCAGTGCTCTTGCTCCGCCTCGATCTTCCGCCGCATCGTCTCGACCAGCTCCACGGCTTCGGGGTCGTCGCGCTGGAATTGCAACGGGGGCAGCGCTAGCACGGCCGAGCACTGTGCACGGACTGCGTCTTGAAGAGCTGCAGATGTCAGCGAAAATATGATATCAAGAACAAGATACAGAAGTAGGATCAATCCGGGAAAACTTCGGGATCGTCGCGCTGGAACTGCAGCGGCAGTAGCGCCAGCACAGCCGACCACTGTGCACGAACCGCGTCTTGAAGAGCTGTAAAAGTGAAGCACAGAATTTGTGAATACGAATATCAGAAGAGAAGTCATGCAAAAACAGCTTTGAGGTCGTCGCTCTGGAACTGCAGCGGGGGCAGTGCCAGCACGGCCGAGCACTGTGCACGAACCGCGTCTTGAAGAGCTGCAAAAGTGAAGCACAGAATTTGTGAAGACGAATAACATATTAGAAGTCATGCAAGAAAAGCTTTGGCGACGTCGCGCTGGAAGTGCCGTGCCAGTACAGCCGAGCACTGTGCACGGACTGCGTCCTGAAGAGCTGCAGACAAATTTTCAGATTTGAATCGTCGAACTATTTTGTCCCGTGATAAAACGAAAGAAGCATTTGAATTTTGCCCAATTCTCCAAATGCTTGTATATTCGGAATTTGTGCTCCACGGCGTGAGGGTCGTCACGTTGAAATTTGAGCGGGGCAGTGCCTGAAGAGCTGCAAGATTGAAGCATAGAATCTGTGAATGCGAACAACATAATAGAAGGCGTTCCGAAAAAGCTCTGGAATTTTTGCGTTGAATTTGCAGCGGGGCTGCGCCAGCACGGCCGCGCACTGTGCGCGGACCACGTTTTGAAGAGCTGCAAATTAGGCACAATAAACATAAATAAGAGCATGATGACACGATGCTTTTCCCTGTCTGCTTTCTCCTCAATGTTGAATGTCCCAATATGAAATAATACAGAACATTGGATAGAGGAAGAAGGGCAGTCACCGAGGAATCCATCTGTTGGAAAAGTCTGCAGAGATTATAGTAGGGAAAGGAGGACCTGTAGCAGACTGCAGTGGCGGCGGCAGAACGCCCGATTTGCATACTGAAAAGCTGCAAATGTATGACGAGAGAACAGATGACTGAGCATTGTGGTCATGTATACAAAACCAGGGGGTGTAGGAGGGACAGTCTGCAGTGTGGGGAGCGCGTGATTGGTTGGATGGGGGAATCCATGTAAGAACTTGAGATGAGCTACGAATGTGTCTTTCTGAACTGGCAGTTCGTGGTCCTTTTTTGACCCGGATGGGAACATGGAAATTGGGAACAAAAAGCAGGATTTACAATGGGGCAGCGTCAACGTCACGGCTGGTGCCTTCCACCTTTTGGACACAGTGCATAGTAAACGAACAACTCTTCTGAATCGTTTGAAAATTCGGAGCAGGATCTTGCACCTCAAATGCTGGAGGCTCAAAGTGCGCAATGGTGCTCCCTTTTAAACAAGCACACACTTAAAGTCGTAATAAGTCTGTTTCGATGTCTTAAAATCAAGAGACAGTTTCCTCCGTACGGTTCTTCCTGTGGTGAAGTTTGGGGACGCCGGTATAGAATGAGGTCACTGTTGTTATGCTCTTAGAGTGCTCACTTGCAGCTCGCTCATCAAGCTCCCTCATGGTCGACAGCAGCCGTTGCAGTTCGGGGGGTAGAGAGCTGACATCTGAAGGGAGAAGGGGGGATTGCATTGAGTTCAGGGTTGGAGGCAAATCATCGTCTCGTTCTTGAACAATTCCCCAGACAAATTCCGAGCTATACCTCCGTACTTTTACAAGGAGCATCTTGAAAAGTCTTTCATACGTCCTGGTCCACTTTTCTGGAAGAAAAGAAGCGGTCATCGTTGGGTTCAGATATCTACAAACCAAGATCAACTGCTAATGAGATAGTCCTTCTCCATTTCCAAACACAGTAAATAAAGGATTATGTTCTCAAGCATTGTCACTGGTTACGCTAATGGTCATCAAAGGTTTCACTTGACCACTTATCCTTTACGATTAAGGCTTCCCTTAGCGGAGCAGATGATCACTCATTATAGAAGCGTCTTTCCATGGCCTCAGTATTGCCTTCTGTAGGGCCAGCTCGGTAGCAAAACACTGAGAATTGTAAATCGTCAAACACTAGAATACGTAACTGACTGCCCGCATTTATCCAGCCGCATGTAGCTGTGGGCTCTGTTCCGTTTCACAGCTCAAATCAAATCCCCATGTCAGCTTTAGCGTTGACAAAGCACCTGCTTGTCATCTGGGCCGAGTAACAAAAGGTGGATAGTCTACATAAGCGTGATCGTCCACATGCCATGCACATGACGTACGAAGCGAGCGCCGCAGGAAAGCTTGCACATCAGGCCAGTGGCACAATAGGCAGAGTATCCAAGCGCTTCCGACTGGCTATTGGAATGAACATGGGCCCCAACCAAATGAATCTCAAGGGATCCCCCCGCACGATCGGAAGTGACATTCCAGCTTGAAGATGCTCACATTCATGAAAGTCTTCCAAGTAGATCCCTGTCCTCTGGGCCATTCTCTACCAGCTTCCTACTTGCGCAGGCACACCACTTCGGCTTTTCCTTTCAGAGTAAAGGCCAACTCATCCTTAGCCGCTTCAGCTACTGCTCCAATTTACTGCCCGCTTTTCAATGGATGGAAAGTTTTGCTCTCCCTGCAAAAGTGCTCTACACATTTTATCTTTGATACAAACAACAAACGCCGCAGTCTGGTCCCTTCTCCGTTCAGACTATGCTTCGCAATCACTAGACACAAGCATCGCTGGCGCCAGTGGTGTTCGTTCGTAAAAGCCCCTTCCAGTACAAGCAAGTTTGCTCAACAATCTTGCGCCCTTTGATGTTCCGCTGCTAAAATGAAACGGTTTCCAAAGAGCGCAAGAGATCCACGGTTTCTGAAGCAGTGTCCTTCCGGATATATTCGCTTTGCCACAACGCCAACGCCCCACTGAGGGCCTCACAAGCTGATGAGTGAGCCGCAATGAGCTGCAAAATCTGTGGTGCAATGTGTCCAGCTCCTTCACTGAACAGTGCTCAGAGTCAGGGAACTGCAGTGTGCTTCAGACGACCCAAGCAGCTGCTTTCTCAGTCTGGCTGCTCTACTGGCACTGCTTTCCTGACTCAACAGACACAGGAGAAAGAGGGGGAGCCCGGCACGAGTGGCACAGAGCCGCAGGATAAGCAGACGACTCACTCGACGGCAGCAAGCTTTCTGCTTTGCCACGATCCTAAGCCGTGGATGAAACCTGATCCTCATCGGACGGTTAAAACGCTGCTTTATCGAAATACACTCAATGTGAGACTGTGACTCTGAGGCTTGAGCAGTGTGAGCTGCTCGCCATTTTTCAGCACACAAGAAACGCAGCGCAGCCGAGGAGGGCTGAAGAGTAAGCAGGCGGAGCTGGACGCCCAGCACTCTATGGGGCAAGAGTGAGATCAGGGGTAAGCAACTGTGAGCTTTGAGATGCCTTTTTGCGTAAAGGTGCTGAACAGATTTGAGTGTCTTCGGACGACCATATGGCGTGAAGTACGGACACGGAAGTCTTCTTTTTCCATACACTTCTCATTGCGTTCGGGGTTTGGTAGAGCATTGAACCTTCACTTGCTGTTGGCTGAGCTTGGTCCTTGGTTGACTAGCATGTTGTGCTTTCATAAATTCAATGGCAATGCTGCTGTAGAATAGTCAAGCAGAGTGTATTCTCCAAATTAGGGTTCCGCCATCCTCTAAGGGAAGCTTGAGCGATGGAGAGCCAGGCTCATCGAACTATCCAGAGTGGTAGCAGCAGCTTCTCCCCTTTCTGTCAGAAGCATTCAAGCATCTTTTCTGAAACTCTGTCGTGTCAAGGGACATGGCTTCTCAAGAGGTCTGGAAGGGGCACTTTGGACAGGGGCACGAGAAAAGGTTTGTACCCTCAGACTCCGGCAACCAATCTCGGCCTCAAGCTTCCTTGCAAGAAGTCTGTTACGTGTCAGGCGGGGGCAGAGAATGGGGAGCCGGGGAAGGAGCTGAAACCTGGACGCAAGAGCGGAGTCCTGGCTAAGGTGACTCACTGCATTACTTAGCACGATTCATTTGTCAACTTTATTACCATGTATCTGCTTCTTCTTGGACAGGGGCCAGTGCTTGAGGATCTTTTCACGGTTGCCTGCACCGCGCGATCATGGCCGGCACAGCAAGCAAATCTGCAACAGATGAACAATGGTTCATGAGATTTACAGTAAAAGACGCGAGGGGTGCTTACCCGCCTGTGCAGTGGGGTTTTCCATGGTCCCTTGGAGAGACTCGGGACTGCTTCTGTTTAGTGCTTGTTAATCAGTATTCTAAAGGAGCTTATATTGGTATGAAGACAGGGCGTTGAACCCCCAAAGGCTTGTCCAAATCGTCACCTCAATCATGGCACAATCCAACATATATATGTACATCATTCACATTATGCCCGTTACGAGCTTGAGGACGGCCCCACCTTGTACCTAGACTTCTTTGTATTAAAGTTACCAGAGGCACAACCAAGAACTGCGACGGGCACTCCAGCTTTAGCCTGGGCGATCCAAACTTCAACCCTGCCTATCTTTGGTAACATTTTGGAGCTTGCTTTCATCCACTGGATATTTTTCTAAAATGCAGCCCCGGTCCTGGAAGTTCGATTCCACGAACCTGGATAAGTGTGCAGCAACCTCTCAAGTCGTATCAGTGACCTGCATGAACGTGTTCGCTTAACGTCCAACTCGACACCTGAGCTCGAGCACGATTTGGTTGCAATTTGCAGGGCCAGTGGTCTGCCAAGCCGATCATCCAAGATGTCAGAGACATTCCGGAGGTCAAGTGGCAGGAGTTTCCCAGCGCAAGTAGGTTAGGATTCACAACAGGTGAGTCATTGTTCTCTGAAGCTCTGGTGACACCTCCACGTTAAGGCCCAGCGATGTTGCTTCAGAGGGGACGGTGATGGTGCTTGTTCTCCTTGGAAGGCGGGACTAAGCCCTTACTTGATTCTGAGATGCTTCGCAGTGCCTCTTCAGCACTTTAAGCACCAAGGAACTCTTCACTTTCGAAGGTTGTCTTTTTGTAATCGCAATTTGGAATTTTGTAGTCAAGACTCATTTGGTTGGTTTAGTTTCTGACTTGAAATTAATTAAACATCGGCAGTGCGGGGCTAGGTATGGAAGCGTGGTGCTATTGTCGAGAGTCAGAAAATACGGGCAGGTTTGGACGCGTACCAGCTCCTAGTTGCCGCTCTGCCCTTTGCTATGGCAGCTTTTTGTTTATGACTCTGAGCTGCATCACATCACTCGTGGAATTTACCGTAGCCCCACCAAGCAAAACTCTTCACTCACATTCTTAGAAAGACGCAACCCAGGGAGACCTTCCCAACCTGAAACCATCTCATCTGCTCCCAACGACTCATTTGCAGTGCTGTACGGAGGTGTATACCTGGCCAGCCAGGTGCTCTGCAGCACGGCCAAGATCGACGTGTGGGAAACGTTCCAGCTGACCCCCGGGGTCTTTGTCGTGGGCCTCGCGTTCGCTCTGCCGCTGATCCTGGCGTCAGAGTGCATGCATCATGATTACGTGGTGGACAGGTGGCAGCCCGCGCAAGCAGTGAGGGAGGCTGAGGAGGACGAGAATGCAGATTTTTACACGGGGATGACGACAACGCAGGTGCGCCGGTCACGCGCACTGTTTGAGATAATTACGTCACGGAAAGGCGGTTTTTCAATCATTCTTGATTGGTGCTGTTCTTCTGGCGAGCAAGCATTAGCTTCGATTCTTTAGCATTGTGAATGTTTTTACTCGACCCCTTGACAGGTATAGCTACTGTTGCAATTTCTACTTGAAACAGACGTTCTGGGTAATCCTCTTGACGGCAGTTGGAGAAGCAACGAAAACGATGGTAACAGGATTCGATTTGAAGCAAGAAACAGGATTAGACTTCGAAGCCAAAAAAACTCATTTTCTGCCTTGTCTTCTCGCAGCTGGTGTTGGTGACGTCCATGAAAGCAGTGGCGGAGGAACTCTTCTACAGGGCAGGCGTTCAGGTTAGCCCCATAACAAACCACTGGACGAAGCTAAAGAATTAAGATGTATGCAAGCATCAGAAGAGCTACCCCTCCATCCGATGTTGCAAAAGCAATCTTTCGAAGCTTAAGAAGCCACCGTTCAAAAAATACTCTTGCCTGCTTGTCTCCTCTCTTCATCTTGGACTTGCACGCACATCCGCCCGTGGTTTGGCGTCAATGAAAAGTTGCTCAGATTTCGGACTCTTGTCCGCGGTCGAAGTATGGCCGGATAAACATTTTACTACACCCAGATACGTCCTTCTGAAAGTATGTGACTGGACGGGTTAAGTTCATCAATCAAGGACCGGGGGCGAGCCCTTCCAAATTGGTCGGCTAAGCAACCTTGCAGTTAACCTGCTTCTTTCTTTGTGCAGGGGGTCATTGCACACTGGCTGGCGCTTGGCAGCAAGGGCTTCATGGCGACGAGCACGGGGATCTCGTCCGTGGTAAGACGCCAAGCTATACGTCCATTCTTTTCACTTGTTCACGGACCTTTCAAACAAACTTTCGAACACCTTTTCAGCAGGAGAAGGATTCGGCTCAGAGTCAGGCACTTCGGTGTGAGCGCCTGTGATTACCAAGTGCGGATGCCCTGTGGAACCGGTGTTTTCCTAGCGAAAGTTGTTCACAAAAGGGAGAAAGCGACCCCACATCTCGGTTGTTTCGCTGCTTGCACGGTGGGCGACTGGCAATCTATGCTCTACAGCTCGCTCCCATTAAGAGAAGTCGTGATTTCGTCAGAAAAGTTTCACCCGGTCTTCCACAGTCGTCTTTGAACCGCCGCTCCCGAAGCAAAGTAGAATTCCAGTCCCTGCATCGCTCTTGCTGAAATTTTGTCGACTTTTCGTTTCTGGCAGACGGGCATCGTACCCCCCTTCGGCCCCTTTTCCGAAGCGCTGGCAGTCGTAGCGACGGCGTGCGTGGCGGGCCTGGTCCACCTCAATCTGTCTACTCCTAGGGGTACGTCGTCAGTCTGCTTTTGTTTTTCACAGGTTTTTGTTTCGGGACTGTAAAGTGTTTCACTTTGGCCGCTCGATTGGCCCTGTAAGATTGATCAATCGTATCGACGCATCATTGATATGGGACTCCGTATCGTGTGCGACTGGAAGCCAAGAAGCACAGCTGGTTGTGATTGTCGATTGCTGCGAGTTGCTGGTGGAGCAGCGATTGGTCTGCCAAAGGGAACGGTCGATTTTTCATCACTTTGCTCGGACACTTGAAACCGGATATTCGTCAGATCCGTGTCACAATGGCAAGGGATATTTTATCAGAGCGGATTCCTTCCGGTCCCTGCTGCAGCTAGGAAGGATACACTTGCGGGGCCAGGTACCTGTCGATAGATTCGTCATGTAACGTCCCTTTGCGAAGCGCTCTAAAAATTGATATACAAGCAACTGACTTGATTGGAACTGGTTACTGGTAGTCTATTCAACGTTGACACGCGTATGCTATAACCCGTCGCCAAAGTCCTTCTGGTCTTCGAAGTTCGCGTCCTTCTGCTGACGTCATGTGCGGCTCTCTTTGCAGAACCTGAGGTCATCATCGCAGCGGCAGATGCTGACGTCTTTGGTGGAAGAGAGGACGTCAAGCTCATGGTCGAAGGTAAGGCACCGTTTCGGCAAGAGCGTTTTGCCGGTCAGTCTGTTTGTGTCTGCATCCGTCTTTGTCCGTTCGTTCGCGTTATTGCTTGTTTGCTTCATTGACGCTTTTCATTCGGTGCTTCCATGCACATATGTGTTGATTGGTAAGCTATGTCTATTCGACCGTCCATTTGTATACGCATCCGTCTCGTCCGTCCGCTTCTACGTCCCTTAACGTTCACCTGTTCGACTCTTCCTTTCTGTTCGTCTAAAACTGCGTCCATTCCTTGGTCTGAATGCGTCGGTTTGTCCGTCCATTATGTTCGCCCGGCAGTCCTGTCAAGTTGCTGGCAGTACGGCCGTTCGTCTGTTAATTCCGTCCGTTTGTCTCCCACCGTCCGTCAGCTTATCCATTTTTTTTGGTCTGCTTAACACCGCCAGTCTACCCATCCGCCAACACGTACGTCTTAGCTGCTAGTTGTCACTCTGTTTTTCTCTGCGCTCGTCCCGATTTTGCTTCCGCCTTTTAGCTTGGGTGTCATCCTTTCCTCTTTCGCGCTGTCTTCCTTTGTAACTCTTTCGCTGGCGTTGACACCCTCCCACCAAGTTAAGGCTTGCGCTCACTCCTCTCCCTGGTCATTCAACGACAGAATGAATAAATGAATGTGTATTGCGCGTCAGCAGCTACCCCCGATAGTTTGTGCATACCTTTGCGGCTGGTCGCAGAAGTGCCAGCGACGCTTTTCCAGGATGTGAATGTCAGAGACAAATCCCGACTGATTTGGCAGATGGTAAAATGACTTTCTTGTTCATGCTTGTCTTTCAGAAATGGTTCACACTTGACGCAGCACACCGTGCTCGCTTGGATCTCGGCTGATGCATGACTCCGGAGTCGAACGGTTGATATCCTACTTCGTTTGCGCTGCCAATTGATGCTCCTGTCTTTCTCCTCATCGTGTATCAGCGCGGTAACGGTTGTTTCTTTTGCATCTTTTGCAGAGTGGCTCCAGGGAAGAAAGTTGCGGCGGATTTACTCGCCGATGGTGGAGATCATGCTGGCGATCTTCCTTGGCTTCGAGTTGCTTCGGGTGAGTACGTCGCTTTTGTGAAGAGGCTTCGGAAAGCTGCTCAGCTCGTGCGATATCGAACAGGTGTCGCTTGGCTGCTAGTACCGGAAAACGGTCCAAGACCCTGTTGCTGGGAAGCCCTAGGGCTTGAATTGGACGCGAGTTGCGTAGTTCAAATCGAGCGAGTAGGTGAACAACGTACACAAGAGCTTCCAAGTGCTTGCGAGCATATGCTCGCTGTCGGCTTTGTGGAAGAAAGACGGTGAGGAAAACCTGTTGTGCAGGTGGGGAACATTGCTGCTCCTATTACAACCCACGCTGCTTACGAGTTATGGATTGTGGGTGCGAGCCTTCTGCGGTGCAAGCTGGAGAAGCCCGTTCTGAAAGGGTCACAATTACATAGGGCTCCCTTGAGGAAAGACGGTACTTAAAGTCGATGATAATTGCTTGTAGACAAACGAATGTTCTTTCTTCAAGGTAACACCTCAGGGGTTGGTATGCTTGCTTGCTCTTGTAAATAGCGCTTTTTCGTGGCAAAATGTATAATCTGATCAGACCAGCTAGCTAGCTGATCCAAACTTACATATCTGCAAAGTGTTTGATTGTGCTCTAGCCCAAGCGCGTAGGAGGTGTACTGTAGGTAGAACAAGTGTTCCTGAAACAAGGGCCAAGTCATTGTACATTTACATCTGTAGGAAGCCTTTACGTTGTTGCCTTACGGTGAGCATGAGGTGAGCATCAGTAGCATGCCACCTGGCACGTCACTCCATTTGTTCGGGATTTTCTGCATGCTCCTGTACTAATGTTTAATCAATTCATCTCAATATGTGTACGACCAGTTGCAACTCGACGTACATAGTACTCGATCGCGAGTGACGTGCAAAACCGGTATTGAAGGAATGGTCCAACCGCGATCTGAGTCCACTGATCTTATATGGGCATCTGCTCGCGGTGACGATGGTTCGATGGAGCTAGTTGAGTACCTATATAGCTCAAAACAAATCATAATCAAACGTACTATAGCTTCAGGATCAGGTGGCGGCGCACGTACCAATCTTATATGAACCATGTACGTACTAATAAAGGACCTGTACGTATATATCTAAGTATGATGGAACACTGGCCGGCCGCCATTTGCAATTGCCAGGCCCCCCCGCGGATCCGGCGACACGCAGGGCAAAGCATTACTGCATGCGCACTGAAGAATGATTGCTGGGAGGACGTACGTACACGTTGCAAACGGTCGATCTTGGGTATTAATGCATGAGTGCAAAGTACTAACTATATATATATGCTGATTAATGCCTCCCAACAAGAGTCTGTCCGACCGGCAGCCGGGATCGATATTTCCGTCATGTACGATGTGCTGTAAGTTAGCATGCGTGCATGCCCGTTTGACTTTTAGTTTGGCTTCAGAAGCCGAGCTCGTCTATCCAAGCATGTACGTATATCGATCTGTTCGTATATGGTCTTTTATATTAGAGGTGAAGTGTTGTGCGTACGGTCTGGCTAAGTTTGCTGTTCGGGTTGCCTATTTTGATGGAGCTGGCTACAGTAGCCACAGAGTCTCCTAAACACAGGCGCAGCCGATGCAGTGATGTGCGGCTCCCAACTCCACTCGGTATGAATCTTCTACACTCCTTTTGCCAGATTGCTGTTTCCTTAGATACTTTCGTCTACAGAGTGACTCGATAAATATGTTTACAGAACAGGCGGATATGCTCACTGCCGACACCGACTGCGCAGCTTGCTGAGCTTGGCATCAAATATCCTGCATGGTCCTATGCTTAACATAACGATTCACACTTGTAATATCTATTTGGCGGATGTTTATCTGGCACGGCCTGTACTGGATACCTTCAGGCTTACCCCCACCCCGCCCACATATTTACCTGGCATAAACGCCTTCTCCCACCGTAGCCTCTCCCACCAGAGAAGGCTCCCACTTTCCCACACTTAACAGACGCTCCTTCTTGCCGCATGATACATGACTCGACATCTTCTCTACACCCATTCTCAACAGGCGCCTTTCCCCAACGTCCCTCCTTCCGCAAATGCACGCTCTACTCCACCACCGCAACCGAAGGTGCTCCGGTGGCTTCCTTAATTGGTGGCTCTTTTGCTATCCCCTGCGGGAAGCCGTAGCGAACGGCGTTCAGGTAGTTAATCGGATTGTGTGCCCCGATCCTGGGGAAGAAAATGGAGCCCATTCTGGCCAGCACCTGAAATGCACTCTCCCGGGGCCTCGTGTGCCCGTCGGGTCGCAACAGAACGTTGGCGATGTCGTTCCACACCACGTTGTAGAGCAGCTCCAAAAATGCCGTGAAGTATGGCGTCACCATGCCGAGCGCCGGCTGGTCGCTGAACGTACCGACCTGTCAGAGAGACAATTCGTCAATGCTGACCATAATCCAAGGACCCCAGTCCCTTGTCAATGCGCTCATCAATGACTTCCGGTGCCATCCGCTGCTCTGATTTTGGACCTGCATCAGTCGAGAGAGTGACAGCACCAGTTCAGCCAGGCTGTTCTGGTTGCTGTACTTGCACCTTTTACAGAAGAAGCAAAAGGAAGTCTCTCATTGCAGCCTTCTTTCAGTCCTTCACATAACGCCCATACAACCAACCGTTTCGGTCTGCAAGTCCAACAAGAATGCCGGAACAGCAGAGAGGTGCCAACCGCACGTACTAGGGAGCCCTACAAACATTTGCTGAGGTAGAGGCCCCTCCGGTGGAGTCCCACTGTTTGGGGTCACGGGGACACGAGATGCATGCTTCCACATTGAATGAACGACCCTTCTTCGAGCTCATCCCGGGTCTAGCTTTCTTGAAATCTCATTTCAATTTATATAGGCTCAACCGCTGGTCCACACGGTTGATCAAGCTTTTTGCAGGGGACTTGAAGAAGTCGCCTTTACCGTGACGTTGTAGAAGGGGTCGGCCCAGTGGAACGGCCCCAGGTGCTTGTACTGGAACAGCGAGTTGTCGAAGGGTACACGTGGCACCAGGTCATTGGAGTAGATCAGGCGCACAAACCGCAGCTCGGGCAGGTTCAGCTTGTTGTGCAGGTACCACGTAAACGACCAGTCGCCGACGCGGGGCTGGCCAAACCTACAAAGGTTAAGAAAGCTGTTAAGAGCAACAACCTTTTGACTCCTCCGACGTGGTGAAAGGAAAACTCCACGAGAAGGGAAGCAGGAGTGCGGCAGCCTTTTCTTCTTCTGAAGGTACAAGAGCCCGGGGCAGAACTCCTCTACCTGTAATAAACAGTCAAACGTCGGAAGCTGTGCTCCTATCCAATCTCGGTCGCGACAACTTGTTCTTTGCAGGTCGATCCATCTTGACTGCATAGAATCAAACTCCTTTCGCAGTAACAAGCCGCTTTCTCCGCTGTCCAGAATCCAAACACCCCCAAGCTGCTTTTGCTCAATAACCCGTGATCAGGCGGCAACCTTCGTCCGTTTTAAGCGCCTCGGAAAACGCAGGCGACTCACGTGTACAGCCCACCGATGCGCTCCGTCATGACGTCATCTTCCGCCGTGAGCAGCCCCGTGAACAGGGCCGCGAGCGCGCCGCCCAGGCTGTGCCCAGCGATGTAGATCTTCGCCTTGGGATCCTCCGACAGCAACTTCTCCAGCGCGAGCCGGATCTGCCAGTACAGCGGTGGGTTCTTCTTCCAGTTGTCGCTGTCGCAGGGGTCAACAGGCGGTAAGTACTTTTTCGAGTTGTCGCTGTTGTAGGGGTCATCAGGCTGAGACAGAGGGGTCCCTTTCTCTATTGGTACTTGGCGGTCATCCTCGAGAACGTATTGGTTCAGGAATTTCGCGAGGGCCTTGGTCTCGTCCGTGGGCGTTGCGCCGGAGTCCGGAGCTTCGGGGTCGCGGAAGAGTGCCAAGCTCTTCCTTCCCGCGGCGCTGTCACGGCGCTTGGCTTCCTGACGGTAGCGAGTCAAGCAATGGTGAATGTACCTGCGAGGAGGAGAAAGTCAAGTTGAGTCCGGGAGATGCAAGTGTTTGGTACCAAAAAGAGGTCATTGCTGAGAACAGTTGCTTAGAAAGGCATGAGCCATGCACAGATTAACGTGCGCGCAAGGGGACAAAAGGTTGGTGAAACATAATGTATCGGAGATGGAGAGCTGGCACGTCGAATGTTACGTGGATGCTCCGAGGGAAAAGTATCAAAGCTATCATCAAGTCCGATACGCAGAAAATTCTACTACGTCCAAAAATTCCGGCGCACTGACCTAGGCACAGGCTGACAAGCCTGCGAAGATTAGACTTTGAGTGCTATTTGGAAGGGTCTGATCGAAAGAGGAAAAGGGAACGAATGACCAGGACCAGATGGAGGTACATGCCGAATGGAAAGATCAGGTTTCTTGAGGCGCTCGAGTCCAAAGGGCGCTTAAAAGTCTTGAATGCAGCGAGAGGAGAAATTCCGACAGCTCAGATGAGCTTTGGGGATCGAGAAGGGGTCGGACGAGGAGCGAAGGGCTTAAGGGTGTCAATATGGAGAAAGGTCGAAACTGAAAATTTCCGGATCAGGAAGAAGGCATAAGTTTTTCCAGATCAAAAAAAACCTTCGGTAAGAAGTAGGGAGTTAGCACAAAGCTTTCCACGTTTGGACTCAAGCTGGCTGTTGAAACTGAGCACTGGAATCGAGTCTTTGATAGAGCTCTTAGGCCACACCGCGAGTTTCTTGTCTCCAAGAGTAGCGTTTGATGCTCAGATAGTGCAGACTTCCAAGACCCTACTTGCACACTTCTTGGACACATCGGGGGGCATTCATCTTCACCTGCTCGAACTCCAACACGCTTTGACGGTAACCAACTCACATGCTTCTTTGAGAACACGCGGAAGAGTAAATTGAACCGCAGTAGAAAAGAACCAGAGAACATGCTATATAAACAAGAGCTTCCTGCATGGGGATCACGGAAAGAGGATTCTGGTTTGTCTCCCCTCACTCTGCGAAAAGTTGCAGCTTTTGATTCTCTTGCAGCTTTTGCTCTTCTCCTTTTGCAGTTTTGACCGGAGCTTTTCTGGAGTCGTCCGTTTCCTCCGAGTCCGCGAGGCCCAGGCCCTCAAGAAAGCCAGTGTGCACCCTGCAATAAAACGACGAGTCAGCATAGCGTTCTCAAAACCTAGGCCCAGGAGCTCAAGAACTCAAGAGTGTCAATCAATCGAAGAACGATGAAGATGAAGCAATCAGTTGAGCTTTCCAAAGATCGGACTTGAGACTTCTCACCCGATTGACAGCACTTTTGATACCCCCTAATGCAGAAAGAAGGTGAGACATATCCGCAACAGAATTTAGGGGCGAAGAGAGCCTGCGTTTACCCATTGCAGATGTCCTGGATTGATGCCGATGGGTCAGGTGTCAAGCACAAGACCATGACGAGTCAAAAATTAAGGCAAAAATTGATGCACACGCCTCACTCAGATCGAACCGTTTGAAGGACCATTTTATGATAGTCGACTCTGAGATTGAGGTCGACTTCAAATTGTCACAACAGCAGAAGAGCCTTGATTATGTCAGGATGGCATAAAGAGTTTTGAGACTTCCTCAACGGAGCTTCCATAGCTGACACGATTACGCAACAACTATTTTTGGCCTCCCGCACCTGCCGAGTGCCGGGATCCCATCCCACCAGGCGAACCTGAAGTCAGTTGCCCAATCTACGGCTTTGAAAGGCTCTGTGCCGCGGAAAACGACCACAATAGCTGTCCCCTTCTTGAACAGCATCGCCTGGGTGTCTGCAGATAGACATAGTTTTGAGCACCCTGCAGATTCAGGCCTCAGGCATTTGAGGAGTCGATTCAGCATTCAGGTACTCACCGCTTCCGCAGATTCAGCTGCATTAGTAATTACTTCACAGTCAGACTTGCCAAGATGGCTAGAGAAAATTGACTCGCTCGTGCACCCCTCTCTTTTTGGCTGGGCACTTGTGCGAGGATCTTTCATCGAGAGCCTATTAAACAGAAGAATCGTGCCAAACGCATTCGATTCTTGAAGGCTTGAAGTGCCCAGTGATAATCTAGAACGCATGAAGCCTCTGAACGAAAAGGGGAACATGCACCTTGTCCGGATTGCAATCCCTTCCTTCTGATGCTAATTGTAATAACTGCTGAGATTGACTAGATGCACATGAGTATTTGATTTATGCAGCAACTTGAGGTTTTTGAGCACATAACTTTGACCAAAAGTCCAGAGAAGGGATCGTACCAACTTGATTCTTTCCCTGTGTCTTGTAGTCATACCAATCAATAAACTTAAACCTTTCTGTGTCCTTGGTGTCCTCTGCCTCTGTGTCCTTTGCCTTGGTGTCCGCTGCCTTGGTGTCCTTTGCCTTGGTGTCCTCTGCCTTGGTGTCCTTTGGCTTCATGTCCTCTGCCTTTGTGTCCTTTGCCTTGGTGTCCTTTGCCTTGGTGTCCTTTGCCTTGGTGTCCTCTGCCTTGGTGTCCTCTGCCTTTGTGTCCTTTGCCTTCTTAGCCTGCAACCAATGTGTCCACCAGCCGCATTAGTCTGCAACCTTGCCAATCTACCATCAGCTGAATCCTTCTTTTCTCAGGCTGGGGTAATTGGCAACAGGCCAATACATAGATGCAGGGCTTTGATTCAGCTTAACAAGGACATGGATAAGTTAGCGCCTAGGACAAAAGGAGGCAAGTCTCGGTGCTACATATCTGGCTAGGGGTGCCAGAAAAGCAATGCAATTGTACAGATCGGCACAACTTCAGTGCCACTCCTAGAGGCCTAGCGAGCAGGGCTCTGAACCGGTCAGTACACTTTCCAAGATCAGATCACACCATGCAGGAACCTGGCTCGCTATCAGCAAATGCACAGTCGACATTGCAATGCACAAACCTCAAACCTCAAACCTCAATCAGCTCGGAACATAAGGGAGCACTTGCAACCATCTCGGGAAGTGAATGAGTTGACTTTGATTCACCAATGTAGCTTAGATTACCCCTGATGAGTCGGACTAAGCCACCAGATGTCCAAACAACAGGGTAGGTTGAGCCATGTCAGTAGATCAAGAATCTCATGAAGGGATTGGGTGAGAAGCAGGTCCAAAAGCACGCTGCTTACTGGTAGGCCCTTGTTCCACAAGTCATTAATGACTTCCTCCACAAGTTTTTCTTTCTCATAGATGAGTTTGGCAGCCATGGCACAGACTTCGGCATTGGTGCGGGCGCTGGGAGACTCAGCGGGGAAGGTTTTGACTGTGTGTTGATCAAGGTCGAAGCTCCTATCCAGGAGGCCAATCAGAGTCAGGTTGTATTTGATGCCGGCTGGAGATTTATATTGACCTGAGACAGGAAATACGCATGTCAGTGTGGTAGTATGTTGTGCTTTTTAAGAAAGAGTGCCAAGCTTCAGGGCAGAAGGCAAACATGTCAATAAAAGCAGGTAGGGTCAAGAAGCGTGCTTTCTCATTAGATTGAAGCAGCCACATCTGAAAAGGCTACTTCATCTGGTACATCTCCACCAGGATAATCAAAGCAATTGTTGAGATGATAGTATGTGGTTCAAAGCTTGGTCCGCTCAGGCTCTGTCAAAAGAGGAGGGTACTGCGATGCACTGGGAGAGAGGAACTTATTCTCCTTGATGTTGCTTCTAGGACTTGATACTGAGGGCATTGATATCAGATGATTCACAGATAGATTTTGCTTACCTAAGTTAACCGGCTTGCTCAATCCCCTCTTCTCCTAGTCGTCACAACTATGTGCACATGACAAGGTGTTGTCTTATTTGCTGCTGCTTTTGCCCTTGTTTGGAGCAAAAGCGCAAGTTGAAAGCACTACAAGCTTCAAGGGAGCAAGAAGATGTTGGCATACTAACCTAGGAAGCGGTTCCCCCATTTGTCGAAGCCCTTGCCAAGATCCTCCAAAAGTTTGCCATTAGACGCCATCAACTTGTCAATGATGTAGGAAGACAACGCTGCCTGCACAATGAATCCACATGAATGCCTTCATTGCCACAACTGATGCATTGCGTTTTTAGACCTGTGACAAGGAGCTGCCTTGTCAGTTGTCATCAGATGGAATCAAAATCATTTCGGCGCTTGCAGCATCAACAGTTTAAAATGTGTCAAGCCATGCTGCTTGACATTTGCATAATACTGAGAGCTCCACTCATGTGCATTAAGCAAGTTCATAGGAGACCTGAAACAAGACTATTAATACAGAAATGATGCTCACTGTAAGAAAGTCTGGCCTACATGGCTGCATCACTTCTTGAAACACGTCAAGGTATGATCGTTTAAAGACCAGCTTTGATTCTGCGCAGGCTGGACATGTATCACTCACCTGCCAGCCGACAGCGTACAGGCGTTGCACAGGCTCTAACCGGCGCCGCATAGGGCGTAACAAATCCCTTGCCTTCAGCAGCAAGGGTTGCACAAAATAATCGACATAGGGTTGCAGCACCCTGGCAATCAGCAGCAAGGTTTGCTGAAATCTATAAAGTTTGAGAAGCAGGCGCTCTATCAAGGAATCCGTCCTTTCCGGGGTCCTTTTAATCGTCTCCATGTTGCTTGCTGAGTCGACCAGCGGGGTGCCGTTCGCCTGGGGTGCCATTACACTAGCTCTTATCTTCTGCAGGATCAGAGGAAGCCACCTTTTGAAGAGCTCAGGAGGCAACACGGCACCCCACACGGGTCATGCTGTCTTCCCCAAAACTCAGCCGGGTTCTGCCGACAATTTGATGTCTCTTCAATTTAGGTAAAGTAAGCTCCAGGTAAAGTAAGCTCCCAGCCTAACACTAAAAACCTAACCCTCAAAATCACCCGCTCCGCACCCGAACCCACCCTAACCCCCAAACTAACCCCACCCGTCCCAGGCTGCTTGGCTTACTTTACCTGAAGCTTACTTTACCTAAATTGAAGTCTTATGACAATTTGCCATTGGAAAGGAGTTGCCTTTCAAGTTTCAAGAACATCAATCTACCGAAATCTCCAAATCCAACTTTGGAGGACCGTCCTGAGAGGGGGTGTCGTCATTTATGCAATTTGAGTGGGCAGCCACCTTCGCAAGAAGTCTTGATCGAGAGGCCTCTCAAGTTTCAACATCTCCCCCCTCTCAAGTCAGACTCAACTTAGGTACGGTACTACGGTCTACCTACCTAGCCTCTACTCTCTAGGTAGGTCGAACTGCATGATGCATAATTTGTGCATTTGACTAGCTTTTAAATCTCCGAGATGCCTATGACGACAGCCGATGGCTTGAAAAGTAAGTGTTTGATGTTATCATTGGTCGGTCCAACCTTACGCATCGCATGCCGTTGATATCTTTCATAGCTTTGCTGCTCCAGTCTCAAACCGTTGGATGCTTGCCAAACCGCGACGCCTTGGTCCGCAACCCTTGCAGAGTCATTACCGCCCTACTCGGAAGCGGCGAGATCGACGGTGCATATCACATAGGCCTTGAGACGGCTGCTTTGTATGTCGTTCGATAATTTATGCCTTGCACCGTTACCGTACCAGCTGGCACTGCATTGTTCGAGGAAACGGCAGAATCCAGGCAATCAATCGATCGAAAAAGATCTTCCATTAACGGTTCTCCTCCTGCGTGTATGACCGTCGGCGTTCAACTCTGCTGGGGCCAATTAGAATGCAATGATGTTGCCACTCGATAACAGGGGTGACGTGGCCATGCGGTTGTGAACCGATCCGACCGTCACGACGACCGGGTGAGGTTCCGCGCGAGGATAGGGTTTGAAGTCTGCGCACTCAAATTACCCATTTCCCGCGCACTTCGTCACGCAACTGCGCGAGATACCCCCCGGGCGCTTTCACAGTTCGCAACGGAGTCGGTACACTGAAATTGAACGGCTGTGACGTCTCTTGCACAGTCAGCAGCCGCCCCGTCCACTTTCCCGCAAGCAGAGCTCTCTGTGTGCTGAACCAGAGAAAAGCTTGTGGGGAGGAAGGACGACGCTTCGTCAGGGCTGACAGGGCAGGGAGCACATTACGCTCTCTCAGCTCGGAATGCACCACAGAAGCGTTCCAAGGCGGAGAAGCGCCGATAGGTTGCGGGGCTGCCGCAATGGCTGCATTTGAAACGGCTTAGATTGCTCCTTAGGTTTGCTTAGGTTAGTGTTCTTGCAGCAGCATCTGCAGGGAGCCTTGTAGCACCTGCATGTTTTCTCTCATTGATCATTCTGGTATAAAACCTCACCTGAATTGTGCAAAAGGCAATCAGTATGGCGTGCCAGGTTCAGAACCAATACCAGCCCTACGAGCAGAGCGGTCCCTTAATTCTTGCGCACCACGAACTTGTCCTCAAGAAGCTCTCCGCCCTCTCAATGTACATGGAGGCGCAGGGTAAAGGTGCGTCCGACGGTGTGTCTGGTCCTTCCGATGGCCCCAACTTGCCTGACTCTGAAGCGGCCCGGGATTGGTACGGGGAGGGCAACTCCCATTCTATTTCTGGCCAGTCCCAACCCCAAAGGAGTGCCGCCCGTCCCATCCCCCCCCCATCCTTCCAATTCTCCGCGCAGTCTGCCGCCCCCCCCCTCTCTACTAGCGCGCCCTCCGTTAACCCCTTCAGTCACAGCTCCCCTTCTGCAAACCCCGCGCTTCCTCGAGTTGCCAGCTTCTCGAATGGATGGCACGAGAATGTGAAACCGGATAGGGGTAGGGAGAGCCTCGCCGCATCCGCCGCTCGCTTTTACGAGCAGAAACGGCGGGCTTCCATCGCCTCTCACAAGGCCCTCTCCCTGAACTCCCACAGCTTGCGGTCCCCGCCCGAGCATGGCAATTGCCCTCCCAGCCCCCTCGGTCGGTCGCACGTCCATTTCTATCCTCGGGAATGCTCGCAAGACTCGCTGGAAAAGCTGGGCAGCAGCGGGTTTTCCGCACGGAGGTCTTCCCCGGGGGCCAGCTCAGGGGATGGAGGCTTCTTCTTCGCGCCCGGGGACAAGCACCGGGTGCTCAGCCACTTTTCGCCCAGCCCGACGTCATCCCTCAGCTCAATCCTCTCGGCAGGGGGTTCCGGGGACTCCAATCCCGTGAGTCCAAACCGCACGGATTCAGATGGGAGTGGAAACTCTTGTTCAATGGACGGCGCGACCAAACCCCTAGCGAGAAATTGGGACATGGAGGCGGAGTCGGCGCTCGCCAAGGGGGGGGAGAGGAGCTGTGGAGCTGAGGAGGATAAGCTCGCGCCTCTAGTTGGCCGAGGGCTCAGGTATGTTGCATCCATTGTTTCATATGACAGGGGCATATGTGTGCTTTCGATTCTTGGTTTTGCAAGGGGTTTGGATGCAGTTGTGATATTTTCAGTGCTTCTCTTCGAGGTTCCTCCAGGCGGGGATGACTTTGGTTGCTTCCGGGAGCATTTTTTGTTGCACTTTATGCAGATAAACCCTATTTTGGTGCCTGTGGCTGCTTCTGCTGCTCAGGTTGCACCCTTTGCTGCTTTCTCCTCTTTGTTTTCTGGTGTACTATCAGCAAACTTTTCCAAGTCTGCTGTTTGGAGCACTTTTGGTTCTTCCTGTGGCTTGCTGCATCTTTTAGCAAATGCGGGGTATGTCTCCTCTCCCTCTTGTTTTCTCTTTCATTTGAGTGTGCATTTTGTGCACCTGATCCTGATAAAGCAGGTTGTTGTCTGTTCCCATCTTTGTAGAGATTTCGTGTTAGCAGCTTTCTTTGCTCCGGAAGCTTTTTGCAGCACAACAGTGCAGGCTATGTTCTTGAAGGAATGCCACTTGCCAAAGGCGCGTTCTTGAATAAACAGCCTGGGGTATTCGAAGCGCTTCAGAAGCACGCTCTCTTTGCTGGCTTCATTTTGCGTCATGCTTTGCCCTCGCCAATCGCTCCCATTACTTTCAAGCAGGCTGAAATACAGTCAGAAGTTGGTAGGATTTTGTTTCAGCCATCCCCCAACTATTCTGTTCTTTCGTCAAAACCACATGCTTGGAACCAATCACCATAGTCATCTATACTCCCTGCTATTGCACCTTACAGATTTGTTCTGATCATTGTCTGTCAAGGGCCTGCTGTAGTAAACAATTGGTTGCAATCACTAACCCTCATCCTTCCTTGTCCTTACAGACGAGGCCTCTCCCAACACTATGGAGGCAAGTCACGCTCCTTCCACAGCCTGGCCGACGTCGTCACGAGCCCCATCCAGCACCTCGCGAAGCCCGAGAACTCGTACGCCAAGCGCCGGAAGAACAACAACGGCAGCCACAGCAACCTTCTCGGACGCGCCTCGGGGGGCGTCGGTGGGAATTACCCCCAAAAAGCGATGCTCGCCGACAACCTCGGGTTTAGGGACAGCGAGATGAACGACGTCGAGGGGGAGGCGTTTGAATGGGCAGCGGAGGGGGCCGACGTGGCGACGGCGCTCCGGCCAATGGCGCAGTTCCAGCCGCTGCGGTCGCAGTCGATGGCGGACCTGCGCGCGATCGGACGCCGGCGCTCGCACCCGGAGTATTAGGGTCTCAAAAGGGGTTAGGTGTTCAAGTCTGTTCGTCAAAAGAAGTGCTGTAATTACAGGGCGTCGAAACAGGTCGTGTAACCTATTGTGAATTTGAGGTCTAGGTGGGTGTGCTGCAGAAATGCATCATTGAGGATGACATTTGCAAAGCTGCGACTCGCAGCGCTTGTCGGTCAAAGTGACCGAGTGCTCTCAGAGCCAGTGTGAGAAGGCTTTGGGGCCTCAGTTTAGGAACCCATTTTTTCAGCGCCAACGCTGCAGGTGATCAATTAAAGTGCTTGATGGTCATTAAGCTAGGGACCTCGTTTGAGCTTGAAGCAAGCTGTTGTACAATGAACTTAGTCCAGTTTCGAGTCAGGGTCAGGGGCTCGCAAGGGCATTGGCTTGTTGATATACCTAGAGCCAAACAACTGAACTAGCTCTTGGTGTAAGACAGACGGTTTGGCATGGAGTCAAAAATGCGAGTTATGCACGACTTTGCAGGCACAGTTTGCTGCACTTTGAAGTCATGGTTGCCATGCAACAATGTGGCAGCCACGTTGCCACAATGATGTGGGATTGTTATGAACAATGGCACGACGCATATGGGCTGCATCTGAATCTAGCACAGGCAATCATGATCTGCACGCATGCTGCGTGTACGTCAGCTATGGGTAGGTGTTTCGTCTTGTCGTGCAAGATTAATACAATGAACTGCACTGAATATCATGTGTCCTGATTATTCCATGAGCCTGATCCATGGTATAGGCAGCTGTCATGCACATGTGCAAAGTTTGCTCTGCATGCCGTGTTGCAAATCCTGGCATGTGCTGCATGCCGTGCATATAATTGCGTGATATAGCTGCGGCGGCCAATGGATAATCAAGCTTGGAAGAGAAGTACAGTCCATGTAATTGGACTAATATGCATCCTTTGACCGCCCTGTTTTGACGATTCTCTCGAGCATGTCTTTGCCGCCGAAGATGGCTGCCTTAAGGACCATACTGTGAGTGCAAGAAGGAACGAAGACAAACGATTAGTCTCCTCTTTGATGGACAAAATTCAGAACCCATTGTTTGAAAGTGGTAAGCCAACGACAATCTGCAAACATGTCGGCCTCGTAAAACCTTAGCTCTGTTCCTCTAAAAACGCAATCCTCCTATGCGGCTCTTGCGTTTGCTCGCCGACTTTGGCAGTTTGTTTGACTTCTTTGGCGAGCCAATCTGCAACAAAGGATGCGCGTTCAGTATGTGCATGATGTGAGCTTGCTCCACCAGAGTAAAGACAAGATACAACGACTCCGCTTGGAAGCACAGCGGTGGTTAAGCGGATCGCAGCGGTGTCCTTGATCGTCTTGAAGTTGAGAAAAAGACTAAGCGCCTCGGGACGACTTCGTAGCAAACCGGCAAACCTGGATCTGAATGACAAATGCTTTCCGGAGTTCCAAAATGAAGCAAACATATTGGCTGCGTGCCATTCTGAGGATTGAGTTAAACCCAAGAAAGATCATAATATCAATAAGGCGCGTTAATAATAAGATTAAACCGCACTGGGACGGGTAGGGTTAGTTTGATGGTTAGGGTGGGTATGGGAGCCGGTATCTTTCTGGGTTAGGGTTTTCAGTGTTGGTCGGAGCTTTTTTTTATCTTGGCTTATTATTATCTTTCTTAGGAATAATGAGGACTAGCTCACCGCCTTGGCTGCCTTCTTCCGCGCGCCCTTCTGCCGGTTGGGCACGTCCTTCAGCCGGTAGATGCGCACCATCCAATGGTGCGTCGTGAACACCTGGGAAACAGAGCAATGTCAAGATTCTGAAAACCTTCTTTGTGAACTGAAGGAGCCCAACTTCGAAAATATCCTCGGACTGTTTTGACACATGATTTTGCGGCCTGCAACTAAGTACGCTCATGGCCTAAAGCTTGTAGACACAACATCTACATGCATGTCGGATAAGCATTCGGTAAATTGACAGTGTGAAGCATCCCTATCTTGAGGATCTCATATATTGAAGGCAAATTGAGAGAGGTCCGACAATGGCTAGGTTTCAACCACCGCCTTCACTGCAGGCGGCGCATCGCCCCACCCGGGAGTCGTTTGCGAAATCTCATCAACATCGGCGATGCAACAAGCACCCTTAAAATGAGCATGTTTGGGGCAGACAACGCTTTCCGTAAGCTTCTACACATGTGACTGTAAGTCCATCATCATTGGCCTCTACGAGCCAGAAGCAGCAGAAACTGACAGTACTCTGTCACGTAACACAACAACGGTCCTTTGAGGTCGTCAAGCTGATCCCAGAAACGCTTGCTTAGGGGGACGCCAACGAGAGTAGAAGAGTAGTCCTTACCTCCTCAAAGTACCGCAGCTTGATGTTCTTCTTGCCAATCTCCGTCCGCCGGACACGGTCGTACCCCGAAGTACCATCCGGCGCCATGGTGGCATCCGCAAACCTGAACGAAAAGACAGAAAAAATGGCTTCCAAATTGAAATGGAGGTTCTGCTGACCGACCCTGCTAAAGAACGACCATTGACCGAACCGGGCTCAAGAAATGACGCTGTGGGAACGGTGTCTAAGACCTGCACGAAAGCCAAATATTCTGTGCAGAAGGGAAATTTGCTAACTGAACCGTGCTTAAGAAATGACTGATATCCGAACCATGCTCAAGGAACGACGAGTCGAGTAAAGATATTGACACATGGACGAGCTGCATGGGTTGCACTTTGGTCTGGCTAGCTCGCTCTGAGAACCACTACGTCGGGTAAAGAAAGCTCAATAAGGATGTTGCAATCAAAAGGGGGATGCGCTGAGAGCAACGCGCTTGCTTACCTGTAGTACGACAGCTTATACATGAGGCAGTTGAGCATCGTGGAGGTGGCTCCCGAGTCAATGCGGTAGCTCCCGTGCTTCTGCACAAGGAAAAAGAGCGATAGCAAATGAGGAGAGGCTAGCAAAGAACACTCAAGGGGATCGACAACCCAACTCAGGCTGAGCCCACAACCTCCTTTCTATCGATGGGAAAGAAAGAAAGGCTAAAATCGCTTTTCCAGAGTTCCGTCCTTCTAAATTATCCTTGTTCTTATTGCAAGAGAAGAGTGTTTGGTCTTTGCCAGACCCTCTTCAGTGCGGCCAAGGCTTTCGTGTTTTTCTACTCAAAAGTTTCCCATTCAAAAGGAAAAGGCCTGAGCCCTGGCAATTTCTGATTCTAAACGATGGCTGGAGCGTCACTGATGTAGCTTAAAGAAGGTCAAAAAAGAAGGATCAGACAGGGCAATCAAGGCAATTAGATTCGATGTCAATACAAGCAGACAGAAGAGGGTGGGAAGGGGAAAGCAGACGAAGCCTCATCAGCTTTGGGAGTGCAAAATTACCGCCTTCAACGGGTTACGAAAACACGTCAGAGCCGATTCAGCATGTGCAGAACTTAGGCAGCAGAAGCATTGCAAAGGATTATTGAGAAGGCGACACCTCCCCCCTTCCCCTGAACAACGGAGGGAGGAAGGTGGGCAGTCTTCTGAAGCGGGGTTCCCCCTCGAATCACAGCTCAATGGGGGAAGGCGGTAACAAAGCCAAGACAGGGAGTCAAGTGCGAAAACGCGGAACAAAGCGCACCAGGTAATCCGGCTCCTTAATGTGCGGGTAGACTCCCCCACCGATACGGACCATCCACAGGAACTTGGCGATGTCGTCACCGGAGTAGCCAACGAAGCCTGCGCACAAACAAGGATAAGAAGCATCACGACTGAGTCCAATTTGAATAGTGAAGACTGTTTGAGATCGAGGATGCGGGTTGCATTTGAGATGGGACGGAGCGGACCAAAAGGCACTGCCGACAGGACGAGAGCTTACTAGCCGAGAAAAGGAAATTGATGCATGTGTGTCTGGAAATAGCGAAGATTGGCATCTGCCACGGATTGATTGTCTCGGCTGGGCTTAAAGGTGATGGAACAGCAGAAGACAGAAGTCAGCTCCTTCGCTCCAGAGCCGTACACCAAGCATGCCAAAGTTTGCCTTTTCGAGGATGCAACACCAAGACCTTCGACTCGAGCCGCTGGAAAATCGAGCCGCTCACTCCAAGTGATCCGACTGCTACAAGTCAGAAAAGAAGAGGCAGTCGGGCTGTTCAAGCGGCTTATCTAGGAGTTGCCACCAGTAACCAAAGCCTTAGCTGCAGTAGTAGCTACGTAAAGGGAAGAGAAAATAAAGTCTACGCAGGCAGACTAGGGAGGGCTTCACACCGCCACAACAAAGGAACTTCGCCGGCCGCAGAAACAACAGAACAGACATTGCAGAGGCAAAAATGGCGGCAAAACCAGGCAAGTACCAAAACGGTAGCACAGAAGATAGCAGTGGAAAGAGCGGAACGGACCTCCAAAAATGACAAACACGTATTCTACGTCCAGGCTCTTGAAGATCTTCCAGGCCTCCCTTTCGGGCGACGACATGGCCATCCCAACGGTGGCGATATGCGTGTTGTTCCACGTGTTGTTGTCTACGATGACCGTCCGATTCGCCATCGCCGTCGTCTGGTAACCGTAATCCCACCAAGACGCCACCTGGCAAGAGGAGCGACCGTCTTAGAATTGGTGCTTTCTAAAGTGTTCCAACTTTTGTAAGCCAGCGACAAGGACGTTTATGTGATCCATGTGCCGATGAACACATAGTGCGGGCTGTTTAAGCAGCCTTGCGATCCCCAGTTCACGCATCGGGATGGTAATGGAATCTTGATGGACCTCCATGTGGACCCCAGTCACGTTCCTTTCCCTTCCTTTCCCTAAAACCCTAAAACCCTAAAAAAGCCCAAACCAAATCCAAGGCGATAGAACCGCGAACTTAAGATGCAAAAATCGGGACCGGCCAGACAGTAAAGGCAGGCATTGTCGTCTGCCGTGATCTGGATCGACTTGTTCCATCAACAGGTCTGACCTGTATGTGTCAGGAACAACGTTCAATCTTTGGGTGCTACAATTGAAAAGACCTGTGGGAAAAGAAGCTCTGGACCGAAAGTGCTGCAAATCTTACCCCTAAGAAGAGAAAAGATTGCAACTCCGACTGGGAGCTTCAGAAACTCTCCGACGGGGGTTGACGGGGACTATTCGGGGTCACAATCAGCTTCATTGCTAGTAAACCGGAGGGAACAAGTGGACACCACATCCTGCTAAACAATAGATGCCCCAACAAGGTTTCGCAACTGCATATTGAAATTCCAGGATGCTTCGTACGGTCGCCAAACAGCAAAGAACTAAAGCCGTTTGCGCAAGATCATTCTTAGTTTCTGGTCTCGTCAAGCGGCATGCAGTATTCGTACATAAAACAAACCTCAGAACATTGCAACCTCAATAGATGTGGTCAACTCACTTTCGTGTTCTCGTCCGTGTTGTGCCTGAGCCAGCCGTACGCCTCTCTGAAGTCGTCGAAAATGTGCGTGGAGCCGTCGGGGTTGTGAGAAGCGAGTACGATCGACGGGGCGGAGTACGCCTCTGCGCTCGCCCACACACAGTGCAGCTGCAATTCAAATATCGAGATGCCTTATTTTAGGGAGCCACCGTCGAGTTTTTGGTGCTAAGCGGAGCAGTTTTTGGTGTATACAGCAACCCCTGATACAACAGTTCTCGCCTCCGTTTCCGAGTATTTCGGCTTAGAAGGCAACCTTAGCTCAATAGAAATGTTTCATGGGGAAGGATGGACACATGATTCACACTCAACCCAACCCTAATGCGGAGTCCTCCATTACGTCCTATCCAGTTGAAAGATAGGAACGCCTCACGTTCCTGATCTCTTCCGGAGTCTTCCATTACGTCCTTGACAGAATGGCTGCCACCTCATAATGCATACTTTTCACCACGAAGCCAGGAACCAGCGCCGGAAGTGCTCACCACAAAAAAGAACATGAGTAGCAGCGCGAGCGCGATCCCGACGGCGGCCATCTCGAAGGGGATGGGCCCCTCGCTGCGCGTCCACCAAGGCTTCTCCCAACTCCGTTTCTTCACGCTCTTCTTCTTGGACGCACGGGCAGCGGCGTCGCGCGCGCCTTCCTTGGAACCGGACTTGACGACCTCCTTTGAGGCGCCTTCCGCACCCTGTGGACAATTTAAGCTTGTAAATGCTAAGAAAAGAGCATACAGGATTGTCAACGGCGATAGGAACATCAAAGGAGAACAGGGCGCCTTCCTTGGACCCGAAATTGACGACCTCCTTTGAGGCGCCCTCCGCAGCCTGCAGAGAAAGCGATCCTACATGCTGAGCAAATGGCAGTCAGAAATATCAGAGGCGGAGGGTCATCAAAGGTTATGCGAGCGCATTCCTTGGAGCCGGACTTGAGGACCTCCTTTGAGGCGCCTTGGGCAACCTGCGGAAGGGTCGCATTTGCATTCCCTCTCGATTCCTGACACATGCCGGAAGGTTCTTGACAGTGCACGATACTTCTGCATCGTTCTTTTCAGTAACGGATCGTTTCTACCAAATCGACTAGGTGAACGTCTCTTCAGGCGACAAGGAACTTTGGCGGTGTTTCTCCAGGCCTTTTGAGTGCCGAAGTGGCGCTGAATCGAGCACCTACTCCCGACAAACGGACATTCGGCAGCAGCCAGAATCCAAATACTGGGTACTGCAGATGCAAACAAAACGAAAAGGTATTGAGCCCGGCCGTCCCTGTCAACTCTCTTGGCGTCAGCCACATCAGGCTTCGAAGGACGGGCGTCCTTTTTGCGTGTCCCTCAGATGGAGGACGATGCACCCAACCGTGTCCTGCTTCTTGTCTAGTAAAGCACAACAGCAGTCGCGTTTCGTCCGTCCATTCCAGAAGTGGATTTATGTAGACCCAAAAGGGAAGCCAGCCGCTCTTACCTCGTCCTCGTCTTCTTCCCCAGCCTTGGCAATCTCTTCCTTCATGTTGACCACGCCGTGCTTGAGGGAGCGCGCAAACACGTGGAGGCCCTCGGAGAGCCCGATCCCGGCCAGGATGCAGGCGGCGGGCGCGAGAACTAGCATGAGGCGCACCATGGCGCCGGAGAAGTAGACGGAAACGACGCCGTACAGGATGAGGAACGCGGACGGGACCGAGAGCGGCATAAAGCACGCCTGCAGAATATTGAATGGTTAGCGCGAATTGATGTTCCTCGTATCCGTCTTGTTCTGCCGTTTGAATGACCGCACGACACTGGTTCCTGAGCTCCCCTTCGTTCTCCTCTGATTTCAGCCCTGTGGAAGCTTCAGAGGAAAAGGAATGCAAACAGGTGGGACAGCGGATTGAAGCACGCCATCAAGGGCGAGGCGGTTGTCGCGTTCCCGGGGGTCGAACTCGGTTCCCCTTGATAATTCTCGGAGTTTCAGTGATGCACCAGCGCCGCATTTCATCAAATGGCGCAACCGCTCAGCAGGTCCTGGTGCTCAGAAGTACTTCGGAAGCTCGGCGTCAATTCCCTCCGTTAGTAGGCTGATTCACATACTAATGCGTCGACCGTGAAAAGAAAAATAGCTTTTTTAGCTGCTATTACATAGTTGAGTATCGACCAGAGGGCGCTGTGGAACGGGCGCCGCTTTGCTGACCGTCAACCATGGTATTGGCAGCAGGTGAGAGAGTCAAGAGTTTCATAGGTACACTCACAGCGATGCCGGCGGGGATAAGGAGGATGAGCACGTGCAGGTCCATGAAGTAGGACGGCCACGTGGGGGGCTGATGCTCGCTGACGCTGGCAATGATGGGGATGTACTTGCCAGCGTACGTCCTGCAAATGACAGGGGACAAGATGTTCACATTTCTCGAGCGTTCTCTTTGTTGTTTGGCTTGGCTTCTGGCTCGCTTGGTGGATGGAGAGACGGAGAGCATGCAAGGATGGAGATTCTATTACCAACATACATCCTGCGAAGAGGAGCCCTGGGGAAACAACAGCTCTCGTCCGCTTTCTTTCCGTCTCCTTTTGATTTGGCACGCTTTTTGGAGCGCAAAGGCACTTTTTGAACCAGACGGAGGCTGAGGATGATTGAGAAGTACTTCCCCGCACAAGTTTTTTTACGAGAGGGCCTGGGCGGATGGGCATTAGCGTCTCATTGCTGATATCGAAATCGTCGAACTCTGTGCGGCTTCGAAGCTGTTGGTAGCCGACACAGATGCTTCCCATATCGCATCAAAAGCACAAGGGTACGTGGAAAAGTCTTATGACTTCGCATTATCGACTAATCGAAATCCTGAGAGCATCTCAATAACGCCCGTCACTTCCGTTCTTGAGGGCACTTTCCGTCGCCCTTTTGTGGACTCCAAAAGTAGCCGTACTAACAACAGAGGATTGAAGCATTGCCCCGAAAAAGAACGGGAGAAGTAAAGGAAGCGAAAAGTGGTTCACTCACGGGTCAAGCAGACTGAGACTGCGTCCACTCCAGCCAAGCGTCGGGCTCGCCGCGACAAGGCCCACTAGCAGGAAGGCAAATGCAGCAGCGCCGACTCTGCACACGCGGGATCAAGACTGTTTTGGTTTCGTCTTTATCCCTTTTGGGGCTTTCGTCATCCCCCTCCCGTACCCACACTGCGGAACCATAGGAACATAGCTTGCAGTGTTTACAAATAAAAAAATCTTGGATCCTATGGAAGAAGACTATAGAACAATCCGGAGTTGCCCACACAAATAATGTCGTGCCTGATTTGGCGGCATACGTCATAACATCGTATCAATTCGAAACACCAGAAACAGGTTCCGGGTCCCAAATCAGGTCCCAGCTTTCTCCCACTCCTTGAGCATGAAACTTGAGGCGGACTGGGTTATCCGAAGCAGCATCACTCTCCCTGTATTTGACGTCACTCCAGCAACGCTCGTTTGGCGACCATACTCTTGAGGAAACTGTGGAGGACTGGTAAACCGTCTCTCTACAACAAGAACTGGAATCTTGCTGCACCGGAATATGCGTCTAGAAAGACGAAAAAGAGCAGACACAACTCAAAAGCAGGCCACACGATTTTCTGTAAAGAAAAGAAGTGAGATACTCACGCTCCAATGGTGAGGATGGCTGCAGTAGCGGCCTTGAGCGCGGCCGGCGGAAGCGTCCTCTTGAGATACGCCACGAGGGCGAACACGTGGAGCACCGCAAACACCAGGACGGAGGCGAAGTGCTCTGACGTCATCACGGCGTTGAAGCCCACGACAGGCACCGAGGCGGCCAGCAGCGTTCCGAAGATGATCTGCGTTGCACAGGAAGCAGGCAACGAACTAATCAGCTTTCAAACGATGTCAGCTTCTGTTTGCGAGTTGCTTGAAAGCCCAAAGCTAAGTGACTCTACAGTGCACATTAAGGACTGTCAATTGTAAGCCTTTGCATGGACTGAAATTCCTCACTTGTTTGGGGGTGCCTCAAGGAACACCGAGAACTGATTCCCAGATGAAAAGATCCTTCCGTCACACTGTAGTGTAGCTGAGACGCAAGCGAACTGGATATTCATGCGTTCGCTTCATCAGTTGCGCAGGATACAGAGAGTTTCCGTTTTGAGATAGTAATATGTAGGAAAGGCGACTTACGAATGGGGCGTAGGCTATGTACAGGTGTGCGCTGTACTTGCCAGCCAGCAGGCAGGCCAGCATGTGGATGGGGATCAAGTTGATGATGAAGGTGTAGCCTCCCCAAGAGCACACCTGCAGTGAATTGGAGCCAGAGCTCAAGATGAGCGATAATCCAAAAAATCGATCGGGTCAGTTCCTCTGTCCTGTTCTCGTCATTCTCTGCCCCTCTCATGATCACTTGCCCAAATCTTCCTGGAACGTGCTTCGTCTTGGACCGACATATTTCTTTGCGATTCCACAAATGTAACAGTGCCACTCACCGTATACCCTTGTGAGTTTTGAGTTGCTGAGAGCTAAGCGACATTGCTAACTACAGCTTCCCCGACCATCCTGCCACTTTAAGTGGGAAAATTAGTCTAAGTTAGTCAGTCTGCTGCTGACTGAAATTAGTCCAGGATAGTCGACACTGAAGCTGGCAGGTTGTTCCAGAGAAGCTGTATTCAAGATGGCTTATCCGAGGCTTGTCCCGTACAGCATCTGCATATACATCGGGGACAGGACGCTCATTTTGAACATCTGAATTTACAGCGGTCAAAGGGCAACCAAGCAACGAGTCTTCTGATAAGTTCAGCAATCAACAGTCTGTTCGAGCACGTTTCAGTGCTTGCCATCTTCTCACCATGTAGAAGTACGCCAGAGCATTGGCTGTGGCCCAGAACAGCGACCCCGTGTTGAGTGTCTTCACGTACAGGTAGAAAGTAAAGACGAGTGCGAAGATCGCAATCCCCTCGTTGTCGTAACTCCCCGCAACGGAGCGGGAGATGTAGGAAGGAACAGTGGCAATGAGCGCCGCAGCTGTCAAGCCCGCCCCTGTGCCCTTGACTTCCTGCAGCGGATTGAGAAAGCGAGGCAATGTGAAGGCAAAGCAATTTTCGTAGTTGCAGTAGAAACAGGGTTGCTCGGTACTTTGGTGCATGACAACACTGCGACTAACTGCTCGTCGTCCCAGCGGTTATTCTTTAGGCTTTGATTCTTGCAAATATGCTCTTCAGGTCCCCAGTTTAAGTACGTCTTCCATATGGTAGATTCTGTCCCACCTGCGTGCAATTGTGTGGTTCCATCAGCTGATCTCACTCGTTTGAGCAATCCTGCAAAGATCCGCTTTAGATTCTGACCAGCTTCATTTTCAGATTAAGAAGGCGAGTTGCAAACAACAATCCAAGGAAGGAAAGTTGCGTATGACATACCTTGGTTAGGAGAAAAGTCGCCCAGGCACAGTTGGCTGAAAAGATTGGGGATGTGAAGACACAGACTGTCCCAATGTCAATCGTGATGTGGAGGCTGTTAAGAATCCTGCACAACGAAACACCACAACATATAAGCCGCACAACATGATACGACTGCTTGTGATCTAACCAGACGGCAAGTCTGAAGATATACATGGATCCTGTCAGGGTGTTCTTACAAACGGAAAGTTGAAGATATACACAAGTCCTGTCAGAAGCGGATAAGATCCACGATGCAAAGCTTGAGGGTCGACGAGATAGCGCAGAGCAACAGAATGCAGATATTATAGCCAATGATTATACTTGTCACCACTATGCGCTGATTGCACAAGCAATCAGCGCATAGTCCATAGAAAGGCACAGACAGCAGCTGGAGAGATGCGTACATTCAAAGGGGGAATCACCACCCACATGCTCGCTTCGTCAAACAAATGGCGTCAACGAGCAGTCAGAGAGCATGTGACAAAATGCAGGTGACCTCACCACCACATGGTGCCAGCTGTGAGCATGAGTCCAGGGTACACTGTACCACCAATGACACGTCCGAGGGGGTACCACGTCCGGTCATCAAACCAGTTCCACATGGCATAGGGGCCGTTCTTCGCCAGGAACTGCAAACCACGGAATTGGAATTGGAGAATGTACAATCTCAAGTGCAACGCAGGTCGACCAGTATCTGCTCATCAGATGCACTTCGCAGATCACCGTCATAACGTGACGAAGCGCACAAGCATTGCAATAATCACAGTCTATTCCAAGGCAGCCCATGATCCCCCCAAACTAGTAACCGGCCCCATGCTGCAATGAAGGCCTTGCGATGGACAACAGCAACTTGGGGCTTGACCGGAAGCGAGGGATCGATGATTTTGCCCTTTTTAAGAAACGCTGATCTTTAAAGAAGGACAGCGGATCATACCTGAGATACACGGAGGTTGAAGTACGGGTCAAACTCGTGAATGACGCTCTCGTACTTGACCACCTGCAGGGAGCAAGGCATTACAAAATCTGTATCAGCATCTGAAGAGGTTTGTAGGGTGCGATAGGATTCCCTACCTGAGAGATGTCCTTCACTGCCACAAACGTCAACATAGAGCACATGATCGGGTTTGGCACTCTGAGATGCTCAACCTTCATCTTTATTTCGACTGCAAATATGCCACCACCTTGAACAACAGTTGCAGATGCAGTTCTTGTGAGAGTAGTCTTTCTTCTTGCAGGCAATTAATGTGGGAGTGCAAGGTCCCACAAGAAACTTCGTGGGATGCGATCGACATGACGTTGTGCAATCTGAAGAGCTCCAGACGCACACGATATGACGTATTGCCAGTTGAAAAACATTGTACCATTACCCATGTTTGATTGCTAAATGTTAAATCCTGAATTCTCGATTTTCAGAACGCATTACTCCAGGCAGAAATCCACATACAGGAAATTGCACAATTGCGTACTTGCGACTTCTTCTATGCATTGAGAGAGTGGTGTCACCAACCAAACTGACAAATGCACCCGGCACTTCCACTACCTACTTCTATTACAGCCATCCTGGGATCTACAATTGAAATAAAAGGATCCGCCTATTCAATCAATGCTTCCCTGCAGCCTGTATATGGACTGTGCGGAAGGCAGATCAACACACAGCACGTACTCAATGAGCTGCATTGTGCAATTCTATTGCAGGCAATCCCTCAACCCATATTACTTTCACATTACTGTCCAAGCTCTAAATCTCTGGTGGCATACGTCTGACTTATGCATATCAGCAAGACAACTCACCGAGAACAAGCGGATGGCAAACGCCATGATGCATATCAGCAGGAGCGTGAAAGCGCACACGACGGCGCTCAGTCCGCTGTTCTTGATCCCTGATCTTTCTTCCGCCATTGCGACGCCGCAGAGATGATCACTTGGCGACTCGCCCAGATAGGTAGCGAATTGCTAAACCCTACAATAAATTGCTTCAATTCTCCGCTGCCTTCATTGTTGGAGGCATCTGCCACCACAAGAGCCTCCCTTCCCAACCTGCTTCAAATCCGCCCAGGCCCCCTCTGACTCTGAGTCTGAGAGTAGGAGTCCGACTTTGATCAGCATGCCCTAAAATTAGGTATGGACTTGTGTTTTCGTAAAAGTTTCGATATCAGGGGGGTGCATGTGGAGTATGAGTCTGACGAGAAAAGCAACCTTTTGAACCGTGAATTGTTCACTGGAAAACAAGATGGACGGCTGAGATTGCCCAAGAATTGCAACTGCCTGCATCCCCTCCTCGATGGGGGTGCATCTAGTTTCTGAATAATATCCTAAATAATAAAAGGTACATAGCAATGCCATGCACAGCCTGCACACTGCACAGTCTCGTGCAATTCTCCTTGCGAAGAGGGAGCCTCCTTGCAAGTTGCAGCTGGAGGCAGGCTGGAGATGGCCCTGGACAATCTCATCGAGATTTCAATTCCCAAAAGCTGTGCATGTTGTGTTTAGAGATGCTTTGATTGCCCCCATCTTTCTGAGCTCGATTGGTCCGAATCTTTTGCGGGGCAGCGCCTTTCAGAATACACAGTTGCAAGCCTCAATTAACGCCACCTTTGAGGGGACTGGTTTTAAAAGATCATTTGTGTTCATTCTAGCGGAAACTCTTTTAGAAATCTGTCTGCAACTGCGGGGCCATGCCCAGAAGCTGAGGTCCATGGTGGGGATAAGCCCGGCCCGTCTCCTCTGCGCCATCACAACACTGCCGCTGCTTCTGGCAGGGTTTGCCTTCTTCCTGCAGCAGTAAGTATTCAAAGGTGCTGTTATGAAGTAATCAATGGTGCTCTTGGAAAGTTAGTGATGTTGTGGAATCTGCTCTCTTCATTTTAAGTAGCCTCTGTGCAGCAGGTCCTGAAAAGATCAGAGATGTCCCCAAATACACAGCCATAATGAGAGGTTTGTTTCATTGCCTTGTCCGCAGCTCACAATTTGCCACCAAGTCCATCAACGATAAATGCTGTTCATTAGAAGCCAAAGTCTTCGGATAACAAGCACTGCCTTGAAGCCTGATGTCATCATGAGCTTACAAGAAGCCCTGCTTTTAAGTGATCTTGGGCGCCTGTTTTTTCTGTACCACCACCTATTTAGCTCACTCCTACAGTTGATGTTAAGTTGACTGCGACAATGATCATCCCTCTGTACTTCACATTCCTTCATTCGGTTGTCAACTCCCTTCGATTAGCTATCACTTAAGTCAGGCTCCAAATTCCAATTGAATACATGAACATGCTGAAGATAGATGTAAAGTAAGTGCTCTTACGAGGCAGCGAATATCAGCTCTTGAAAGGTTTAACTTGCAATTCTCTGTGCGGCCCTCTGGAAGTCAACTTTCCTTGCAGCTTGCTTTGCTGAAGGATTCATTGGATGGGAGAGCGAGCTGGTTCTGGATCGTTGAAAGCTCAGATCACCCAAGCTCTTCTTTTTGTTAGGGCTACTCTTCAAACAATCTTTGTTTCAGTACTCTGCACTCTCTCTGCAAGAGAGATGAAGGTGGATTCGACCTGCCTTCATTTTAGTAATGTATCCACGCCAGCTTATGGATGGTCTCTCCAGCTCAATGGCGAATCTGCATCAAGCGGCCCGGTCGAGGTTCCTTTGAAAGCACGATATTAGAGTACAAACAAGCATATGATCATTCTGTGGTTTGCTACGAACTGCAATTCACTTGCCACACCAGGTTAATTTATCCTCATCAGTCTGGATCCTAAGTAAATCTGTGACCCTGCAGTACAGAGCCCTTGCCCTTATCCTTTATCAACGATAGCCCTTAGCAAGCTGACCTATCACCGCAGTACACAAGTCAGTAATGTTTCTTATTGGCGTATTGGAACGGATGCTGACTGCAGACTCCCTTTCATTGAGCTACAGCCTTCGACCGGCTGGCATAACAAAAGCACAAGTTTCGGAGCGAAATTGTTGATGTGACAGAATAACAAGGCTGAAAACCCGTTTATTTCTTAACAGGCGCGATGGTTATGATGACCCCAAGAGGTTATCCCGGCTGTACGGAGTGGAAGAGCCGATGTTTCCGGGGGGTGCCGGAAAAGCTCCCGGCCAGGTTGCCTTAGACTGCTCAAAGAGCGGAGACGGGGGACGCCGGATGCCCGTCTTCCCAAACGGCGTGAACGTGTCTTTGCAAGACGTCTCTGCCGGGGGGCCGAAGCTGGCAATTTGCACGAGCACGTCTGCAGGACTGGATCAGGTGGGGTGATTGGGCCATATATTGTGGTGGTTTTGAGGACAAAGCAGACTAAAAAATACTGAGCGGACTGAGCCTTGCTTTGTTGGGCCCCCAGATAAGGGTGTGGCCGCTGCCTAGGTTTCAAAGCTGGTGGAGTATCGCGAATTATGTCCCTGTCTTTCTGAGAGAAAGAAGCAATTCATCTTCTGCTTGCTTGCTATTTGTAGTCGTTGTGTCTGGACTTCCCAATTCAAAGCCCCTTCGCTTCAGGGCACAATGATAACTTGGCCTGCAGCAGAATCTCGCTGGCTGCCTCATGTGTTGGCTCCGAATAGAAACGTCAGATTCATTTGTCGGATCTGCCTCCTGTATTTGTTTGCATGTACAACATAGGTCTAGAGGGGCGGAGCTCCTTTTAGGAGACATGTCGTCCATCTTGTGCGAAGTGACTCATCCTACTGCAGATCGCATCAAACCTCACCACATTTACGGTTTGTAACCTCTTGTTCGAGACACCTGCGCTGAAGGCTATCGCTCGGTACGAAAACCCAGTAAAAATACTGCTTTTGTGCTTCGGGTTGTCTAAGCGGGAACCCGGGTCGCAGTTTGCTTTTTGGTGCAGCCAGGCCGCTAAGAATAAGTCGTGCAGGCTGCAGACCCCGTCGGAACGTTTGAACGTGTGAAACGTGACAGATTTGATGCAAACTGCAAAAACAACCCGTGCAGGTCTTGCCGTGGCTCTTCTATCACAAGGCGCTCGGCGTCAACACCTACTTTCTGTTCGTCGAGGGGAGCGCCGCGCAGCCAAACAGTACCACAGTCCTGGAAAGCATTCCGGGAGTCAAGCTCGTGCCACGAACTAAGGAGCTGGAGGATCAGCAGGCCAAAAGGTGAGTATCCTTGCTCAGGATTTCATTCCGAAAAAGACAACTCGTCGTATTTTACGGACCAAGGAGCTCGAGGATCAGCAGGCCAAAAGGTGACTATCCTTGCTCAGGATTCCCGCTCATGAGGACAAACTCTCACAATCATGTGACAAACGGTCAACAATACCTTTTGAAGGCGATTCTCATCCAACGGAGCAAGGAACTCGAGAGGCAAGAGCTAGGCCAAGAGCTTGGCTAGCGCTCACTCGGCTCCTAAGCTTGAACAAAGCGAAATTGTCGATGCTCTTGTAAGCTACGTAGATTGGTAAGTTGCTGACGGAGCAGGGAATTTGAGAAACATTAGGCCACTACAGCCTAAACCCACAGAATCTGGTTTGTGAGAGAAAACACTCTGGGAATTGTAGGAGGAATACAAGTCCGGGTTCAAGCTCGTCTGACGGTCCAAGAAGCTTGAGGGACGAGCAGCCCAATGAAACCCTCCCGAGAAGCGCGCTTCTCAACCTTAATTCTGTCAACTCCGAAGCGAAGTGCCGGAGTTGGTATGGGAAAGTTGCAGAGGAAGTGGTTATCTGCGTGAGCTTGTCTGAGAATGTCGCAGTAGGCTTACGAGAAGGTTCAAGACTGGCAGCTGCCTACAACTGAATTGGTGGTTTTCGGCGAATATGTTGCACTGCCGCGCTCCTCTTCGATTCAATGTGATTTCTTTGGCCTCAGGTTTTCTGCTGAGAACAGGCCGCAGATACTCGCCGCTTGTGCTTCTGAACTGTTCGAATGTCGTGCGGCCTCGATAATCTGGTATGGGAACAGGGGTTGCCACGCAACTCCAATTCAGCCTCCTGGTTATGAAATAGCGGACAGCACAACGTCCCCCAAAGGCTTGACGGTATTCTGCAGCCGCATCTGGAACGAGAACTGGCTGTCGGGCTTCTTTTACCAGCCGTGCAACTACGAGCTGTTTGTGAAGCAGAGCCTCAACATGGAGATGGCCATCGTTATGGCGCGGGTAAGGGCATGCGAACTGCGACGACTCATCATTTTCGACGCCCATTTTGCTTGTTCGTAATGAAGACAACCAGTTTGAACCGCTTGGACGGACGCGAACGAGTCGTTCCGCGTGCTCGGTCGCTGCAGAGTGCATGATCTGCGATGCACCGATAGAAAGTGTGCTCGGCAGCGCATACGAACGCAGCGCCATAGGTTTAATGATCTGGGCGGTACTACGATGCAAAGCCAGAAGTCAACGTTTCTTGTTTTGATT